GTTCTTCAGTGTGGGAGGTGGAAGGGGTGTAGCCAGAGCCGGGCATCTGGTGTCTCCTAATCCAACACAGACCCAGCTTCAGGCCGCACGGTGTGTGTGGTCTCGGGCAGTTTCCTCCGCCTTTCCGAGCCCGGGCTTCCCGGGTGCAAGTCTGGCGTCGTCGCCCACGGTGTCTCCTTCGCGGTGTCACGTTCAGCACGGAGCCTGGCGCCTTGCAAGTTCTCAATGAGAACACTGAGAAATCAGTGTTGGCTATTAGCAGAGGTAGCAGAAGTGACCCAGAGCTCTGGTTCTTTGTCTTGGCTGTGAGTTAGGAAAATACTCGACCGCTCTGAACCTCAGTTTCCTCCTCAGTAAGACACAGCCAAGGTCTTAAAGGAGGTCAGAGGTTGAGATCCAGCCTCCCCAGTTGTTTCAAAATAAAATTTGAATTGATGATTAACTTTTAAAAATCCCAACCGCCAGCTTCTTTCAAAGAGCTGTTAGTTCTAGCAATGCTGATTCCCCCTACCTGTGAGGCAGAAGTGCACTGGAACCGGCTTAGACCTGGTGTGCTTTCTCCAATTTGCCACAGTCCCCACCATTCCTTAGTATCCCTACACTGAAGGTACATTAATGAACAGCACATTAATATGTTTGCCATGTTGTTTTTCTTACACTAAAGTGTGGGATGTGCTTATACCCCATCCACTTATTTCTGTTCCTGGGCATGAAGGGCATGCGAGTGTGGAACCCTCGATTTAAGACCAAGGGCAAGCTCATTATTTGTGGGAGCAATCTATGTTCTAGACTTTGCTATTGTTTTAATGTGACTACTAGGACATTTAAAATTATGTACGTCCTGGCCAGGTGGCTCAGTTGGTTGGAGTCTCGTCCTCATACACCAAAAGGTGGCAGGTTCGATCCCGGGTCACGGCACGGGATTGTGGCTTCAACCCTGGGTCATACGGAAGACAGCTGATCCATGTTTCTCTCTCACACAGATGTTTTTCTCTCTCTCTCTCTCTCTCCCCTTTTCTCTTTCTCTGAAATCAATAACTATATCCTTGGGTGAAGATTAAAAAATATTTAAAACTATGTATGTTTCTCATATTATATTTCTGTTGGACAGTGCTGTCCTAGCCCCTTGGATTCTACAGCAGTGGCCAAGTTCATTGCTAATGCATCCTGCCTCCATTTCCCATCCTGAATAGACCAGTGTTAGCCACCCCCCTGGGGCTGCTGTCCCTGACTGGGTCTTTTCCTCACTCTGCGTTTATCTCTTCTGTCCCATCCCTGCCGTCTTCCTGTCTGTCGGGGGGACCCAGGCGGCAGAACTCCAGGCCCGTCTTCTCAAAGTCTCCACTCAGGAAACCTCACCTCCCGGCCCCCCTCTCACAGCCATTGTGTCTTCCTTATCAGACGTTCCCATAAGACAATAGTCTATGCGAAACTTAAATGCCTACCTGTTCTTCTGTCTCCAGCCTGCTGAATTCACCCCAAATCCAGTGATTTGTGGGGTGGAGTTGGGATCGGGGTGGGGGGCAAGTCATAGTGTTTCTAGGGATAAGGTGGGCTGAGTTTGGGGGAGGGACGCAGATCCTTTGCTTCTGGAGGAGATAATGTACACAGCTTTTCCGGGGAGAGGAGAGCATCCTGAAGGACGCAGGGAGCCAGCCGGGGCGAAAAAGAACGGTGATGAAGGCTGCCCTTTAAAGGGAAAGGCTTTAGATGGTTGTGGCTGAGAACTTGCATGGCAGAGTCAGGCCAACTTGGGTTAGAGTCACGGAGGCCAATGACCTTGCCCAGGTGGCTTTGCCTCTGACCCTCGGTCTCCTCTTCTGTGAAATAAGGGTGAGACTGGACCAATTCAAGCACAGCGCATTGCACAGAAGTGCTCCATAAATGCTAGCTATCATCATACCTTTTGAAAAAGGGCCACAGTGGCATGAAGAGTAAATTTAATTTTTTTATTCTGCTTCTGTGCACTTTTGCAATTCTACTACACACCTGCTTTTAGTTAAATAATAAAGAGTTAATAGAGGAAGAAGGAATACGTGAAAATGTCATCCTAACTCTGGGCTCCAACATGGGATTTTTAGAGCTGGAAGCAGGTAAGAGACCGTAGAGCCTAAGCTCACACACCCATCTGGTATCCCAACAAACTGAGGCTCCAAGAGGAAGGGGATTGGGCCAAAGTCATCTAGCAAGCTGGTGTCAGAGCCCAAACCAGAATGCTGACTGGGAATTGTAGGGGAACTTGGAGGTCACGAGGCCAACCTTTCCCCCAGCGAGACCACTCAGACGAGAAGGATTCCGCTGTTAGACGTTTGGAAAGATGCTGGATTAAAGAGAGCGGTACACATTTCATCACCAGGGAACTTCTCAGAGCCCTTACCACACGCCAGTGCCTCAGGCACCTCGACAGAGGCCCCCTGTGTGCCCACAGCAGTGCATCATGGAGACCCCTGAAAACGTTAGCGCCGTCGAAGCTCTCCCTGCCCCCAAACACAGAAACGCTAGGCTTAGATACATTGTTTTTAAAGAACTTTATAGATCTGTTACATACTAAGATCTTACTAATTACAGTACCAAATTGTCTGTTACCGGTATATGGAAAGATAGTCAGGTTTTTGCTTCATTTCTCCTTCTTTCCAAAGCAAAAATATTACGAACAGGCAGAAAAGTATAGAGAGCACTGCGGCGAACACTGACATGCCTGTCTCTCAGTTTCGCCAGCTCCTGCTGCAGGACCGAGTTTCTGCCAGGCTCACGTCCTGTCGTAATGAATGAGCCACGAGACGTTACCCTTAGCGTTGAAGGCCCTGTGCCCTGCCGTCCTCCTCGGCGGTGACCACGGCCAGCATCTGGTGCTCATCACCTCCAGACAGGTTTTCATACTGTTACTGTGCATGTCTGTGTGCACAATAACTACACAGGAATGCTGTGTGATATTGTTCTGCATGTCTGGGAAATTTATTCAAAGGGTATGTTATAGGGCCCTTCAGCAACTTCCTCTTATTCAGTCGTGCGATAGCTTTGGGGGTCTTCCCCTGCTGATGATGTACAAGCAGCACTAGGTCACTCATTTCAAATGCATGCGACGATCCCGATATTTATTCTGGTTTTTGACAATGGAGTTGGTGCCAGCGTTTTGCTATTTTAAACAGTGCTACGGAGAACACTATTGTACTTGTGGGTGAGAGTTTCTCTAGAGAAGGAGTAGGAGCTGACTGTCTGGATCTCAGGAAAGGGGCCTCTTTGCTTTGGTGAGAAGCTGGTAGATGGCTCCCCACTGACACCTCGGGCAGCTGCGGGGAGCTCCTCTGTCCTCAGCGCCTCCTCTGTGAGTCCGCCTGTTCCTCTCCTTGGCCCACTTTCCGACTGCGCTATTTCCCTTTTCTTATCAGTTTGAGGGAGTTATTTATTCTTGATACAGATCCTATTTCGGTTGTATTTGTGGAAAATACCTTTGATCAGTCGGTAGCTTGTCTCTGCACTCTGTAGAGAATCTTTTGTTATACTGAAGTTTACAACTGTAATGTAGCAATTTCAGTTGAATAATAAAATAAAGGTCATTAAATTTAATCATTTCCATTATGGTTTGCACTTATATCTTGCCTATAAAATCCTGCAGGGCCTGAGATCATAAAACTATTATGCTAAATATTTCCTATTAAGTTTTATTTTTATTTTTCATATTTGGGTCTTTAGTCCATAGAAATTGATTTTTGTGTATGGTATGAAATCGAGATGCCATTCTATTTTTCTTCAGATGGATAAACAATTGTCCTGGCACCATTTATTAAGTAGAATATCCTTTCTTGGCTGATATGCAAAGCCGATTGCTTTTGTCTCCCATTTTCAAATATCCGTAGATCTGTTTCTAGGCTCTCTATATTGTCCCACTCACCTAGCTCTAGTAGCCACTTTAAAACAAATTTTTTAGTCCTGGCTATGTAGCTCAGTTGGTTAGAGCAGTGTCCCAATACACCTAGGTTGTGGGTTTGATCCCTGGTCAGGGCACATGAAAAAAGTAAGCAATGAATATATTAAATAAGTGAAACAAAAAAATGAATATCTCTCAAATTGATTTTAAAATTTTTTAAATTATACCTTGTTTTGTTGGTTTGGCAAAAATTATATTTTTGGGTGTGCCACAGAATTTTAGTAATTAAATGGTTTATGTGTGCTGTGAGATGAAAAATGTGGAAAATCACTGGGTTAGGGTTTGGGCAGCTGCCGCTCGACAGAATCTCTAGAAGTTCGCTCTAGAAGTTCCTGCCGTTAGAAAAGCTCTCCCCACCCACACGGTCCCGGCGATTTAACCGGTGTGAAGGGTCTCCCTTCTCTCTTCGCCGAGTTCAAGCGCTTCTCCGAGCCCCCCTGGACCTCGGTCTGCCGCCATCGCCACCACACAGCGGACACTGGGAGGCTCCCTGTGCGCCTGCGCAGTTCTGTCCCTGCGTCAGCTCCGACAGTGCTCCCGGCAACCCGGAGACACACACACCGTCGTCCCTATTTTGCCAAAGAGCAGAGCAGTAACTCATCCAGGGTCCCACAGCTAGTCCATGGCAGAATCAGAATTCAAGCCAGAAGGTCAGGTTCCAGAATTTGTGCTCTCAGCCTCTCTACTGAGCCGCCTTCAAACATCTGACAAACCTCAGCCACCTTTCTGGAGCCCGAAGGATTGACACACAGCTAGGGGACGTTCTTGACTGTCTCTCCTCTCCTCTCCTCTCCTCCCCTCCCCTCCCCCCCCTCCCCCTCCCCCTCCCCTCCCCTCCCCTCCCCCTTTCTTTTTAACAAAAAGAGAACAAGGACCCACAGACAAAGACAAGGGGGGGATTGAAGGTGGGAGGTGGGGGTGGGTAGGGCAAGGGAGAGTAATGGGGGAAATGGGGACAACTGTAATTGAACAATAGTAAAAGAAATAATTGTAAAAACAAACAAGCAAACAAACAAAAACAAAAAGAGAACAGACCAGGGGCCCAAGGGCTTCCAAAGGCAACAGTAGTAAGTCAAGAGAAAACATAAGTTTATTTCATTCTGTTTATTTTCCCATTGCTTTCTACTTATGATACTGGTGTTTCATTTGGTAGTAATAACACATCCTTCTAAAATAAACCTAAGTTAAAATAAGTGAGTTGATGTTAAGAAAAATGTTAATTAGCCTAAGTGGTTTTTACATATGACAAATCATGATGGTCATAGGAACGTCAGGGAAGCTTTGGAAAGACTGTGTTCAGTCTGCACAGGCGAGGCTGTGCCGCAGGAAACAGCAATGGCATCAGTCTCAGGGGCCGACACAGGGTAGAGCTGCCGCTCACCTACCGTACCTGCGCGGCACGGTCAGCAGGGGCTCTCCTCATCCCGGGGACTCCATTTCTATCCTCGGCTCTACGGCAACCTCAGCACTGGCTCTTAAACCTCCGCCCAGGTGTGACACAGATGGTTTCTGTTCACATGTCATTGGCCAAGACAAGTCACATGGTCACACTCAACTTCAAAGGAGGCAAGAGAGTGCCAATCTGCCATGTGCCCGAGAGGGGAGAAGTGGAATTGTTGAGAACAGCTCACAGACAGACCATGAGTAGGAGGGCCTGAGAGATGGGTCTAGAAAGGTAGACCAAGTCATGACTCGTTGGGCTGCTCCGTCTCAGCACCTGTTCTCAGGGAAGGGACTCTGGTCCAACAGGCAAAGACAGTCCGACACCCCCATTCTGTTAAGCAGCACCTCAGGATTCATTTTGATCGGGATGCTGCTATTTTATCAGCAGGTTTAGCTGAACTTCGTGGTCAGCTTTTGTTTCTTCCCGGAAGGTAGATGAGGCAGCTGGGACTTCGGCTGCGCTAGGATTTGGTTCTGTCCCTACTTTGAAGAGATATCCAGGGATGGGTAATGGGAAAGGAGAGACATTCAAGGGTAGGGTTCAACGGAGAAGGGAGCCTCACCCCGTGCTTGGTTACCTGGTTATCAGGGAGGCTTCCTGGAGGAGTTTCCGAAGTGGGTTCTGAGGGCTCCGTGCACCAGAAGCAGGCGGAAGCTCATTAAACATGTGACAGCTGGGCCCGCTCTTGACCCTGGAGACTTGAGGTGCGACCTGAGGGATTTGGGTTTTTAACAATGGCCTCGAATGATTCCTATGGACGCTGAAAAGTGAGACAGACTGAATTTGGGGGAGAAAATTTCCTCTAAATCCAGAGGTTTAACACAGGTGTTCTCAACCAGGGGTAAACATATGGCGATGTCCGGAGATGACTTTGGTTGTCACGCCTTGAGGGGCGAGTGCCAGTGGAATGCAGCTGGTGGAGGCCAGAGGTCCTGCCGAGTGTCCTGGAGTGCACGGGACAGTCCAGCCCCTACAGCAAAGAATTATTCAGCCCAAGATGTCAATAGCACCAAGGTTGGGAGACCCTGGTTAACAAGAGTTGACCCCTTCCAAATGTAAGGGCACAAGTGATTTCGAATCTTCCCTCTTTATTTTACTGTCCATACTTTCTACTCTAAGCATAGAATCCTTTTCATTGAAAAGCATCGTATGTATCAAGCACTTCATGCATGCTATATCAGTTTTTCCTCGAAACTCTTTCAGTCGTTCTTCCAGTGAGTACCTGTGAAGTGACTGGTATGCGTTGAATTTTAAACTATTCAAGATGTGGGGTGCCCCCTGGAGGACTCAACAGACAATATCCTCAGATCATACAACAGATCATATCCTCAGTGGGCGTGGAGGAGATGTGTAAAGGCCCTAAGACAGGAAAGAAAAACTAAAAAGAACTGGGGGGGAAAAAGCTAGTGTGGTTGCAGCCACTGGGGTAGGGGTGAGTGAAATGAAATTGGGCTGAAGATATAGAGATACAGAAACAAGGTTAGGTAGGCCTCATAGTCCCTGGGAGTTTTGAATTTTGAATTTTGTTATAAATGCATAGGAAACTGTCCAACCCTTTGGCATCTCTGGGCCACACTGGAAGAAGAGTTGTTTTGGGCCACACGTTAAATATATTGTGACACATAATCACCAAAAAAAATATCATCATGTTTTAAGTAAGTTTATGATTTTGCGTTGGGCCGCATGCATAGCCAGCCTGGGCCGCAGGTGGCCTGTGGGCTGCAGGTTGGATACCCCTGCAGGTGTAAAAGCTTATGTAATGTAGAGACCTGATGCAGTCCCTTGGTACGAGATCACCCCTGGCCCCTGGGTGAAGAGCGGGTACAGGACCCAAGCAGAGGAACGAGAGGAGTGAGTGAACAGACCCACAGAGATGATGGTGAGGCGGGCACGGCTGGCTGTGGTGGAAAGGGACAGATGGTGACACACCGAGGTGCTGCTGGAGGTGGCAGGACCTGGATTTCTGGTGAGTTGGGAGGGATAGGAGGAAGGACACAAAGACGGGATTTGGGCTGGAATAACTGAGATGCAGGTGGGATGATGGACTGTGACGATTAAAGTAGGTATCATTATTAATATTCTCTTTTAAAGATGGAGGAAGGAAAGTGCATTGTCCTCCTTTACAAAGCTAGTAGTGGACTCCCATTTAGGTGTGTCTAATTTCAAAGAGCATGCTTTCCCCAGTCTCCCGGACCCACACATTAATTATTATGGTAATGATATCATGAAATATTAAGATATATAAACACCCCTGAATGCAAACGAGGGATCCCACACGGAGCCAGCACAGAGCCTGGGGTTGGGGCTATAAATTTCATAGATGGTGGAACTGCAGTGTGGTACTGGCCTTAGGGAAACAGGTTTTAAAATCTTGTGTTCTGATTGGTGCAGTGCCCAGGTGTTGGTGTGTGACTGGAGGGAAGTTGGCTTGTCCCTAACTAAACCCAGTGAGTTGTGTTGAGCTGTCATTCACTGAGTGTGAAGAGACGTAGTCTGTCTCGGCCTGGGATTGGTGGGATTGTAATGTAACCTTCGCGGTGATTGGTGAAGCCCGTGTGATTATTTAAAGATTTCTGAGAGCCGGTTCCTGCATTGACCACTAGGAGGAGCCCAAGACGCTTAGAGCGCGGCGTCGCGGCGTCTCCGCACTGCTTCCTGCCGGGTACCCTCGTGCTTTCCGCGGCGCCCGAGGGTATCCACCCGACAGGTGGCCACGCTTCTCTGCATAGCCCCTACGGTCCCTTCCTCTGGCTCTCATCCCTGCAAATAGTATTTGCTGACCGAGGGGTGGGACTGCATGCAGTTCACGAAACTTTGTGCAGGCTCAGAACCAAATTACGAAGTTGTGGAGTCTTGACAAGTGAGACCCTTCCTGCTGCAGCCCCTTCTGCCTGCCTCCGAGCCCTTCTCTTAGGAGTAACAGCCTCCACAGTGCCCTTTGAGATCCTCAAGGGACTTTTACAAAGTAGCATCTCTCTGGAGCTTAGAACTGTCCCACAAGGATAAAGGCCACTAGCCCAAGATCATCCTATGCAGGGATGCTCCTTACTGTCCCCACGGCGCTACAACACCCAGTATTTGAAAGTCTCCTTTAAAAAATGTAATTGCTTGCTTACTATATGTTTCTACCATGCCTCCTCACCAAAGCCATGTGAGCAAGGGAATAGGATGGCCAGATCCAATACAGAACACCCAGTAACACTTGAACTTGAGGATAAACAGCAAAGGAGTTTTAAATATAAGTGTGCCCCATGCATTATTTGCTACATGCTTATACTAAAATAATTATTCATTATTTATTTGAAATTCAAATTTAATGAGGCATCCTGTATTTTTATTTGCTGAAACACCCACCACAGTGCATGTGGTGCTGAACAGTTGTTGAATGATTGGATGGACAAGTTCCTTCACTCACACATTTATTTCCCCAGCCCATTATATTAAGTGCCAGCTGGGTACTGAGAATATAGGGATGAAGCAGGAGAAGGCAGATAAATAACCAGTAACCACCACTGGATTCAGCTTCAATGATGTGAAGCGCTGGGGACTGTGGGAGCTCAGAGGAGCCCGGACCCTGCCCGAGCCAGTAGGGCTGCCCAGAGGAGAGGACGAAGATGGGACTTGGAGGATGAGGGTTTGAAAAAGGAGGTGTGACAGCTGCTCTGGGCAGATGGCGCGGCAGGTGCAAAGGCCAGAGACAAGGCGAGGCTGCGGGATTCTGAAATTGCCAGTGGCTGGGGCTGGCGGGCAGAGGTGCAGTTTGAGGGGGCTCAGAAAGAGGTGAGGGGACTCGCGTTCACTGAGCGTCAGTACTTACTGGTCAGCACAGTCGCGGTTGTGCCCAGTGTATAGAGGAGAAAACCAAAGCTCACGGAGGTGAAATGCCTGTCCTAGGTTTACAGTCTCAGTGGGAAAAGCCTGGCTTCAAACTCAGGTCTGGCAGACTCTGAAGCCTGCACTCTTCTGGAAAAGTCACCCCAATTGGAGAAGGAGGAAACGAAGGCTCAGAAAGGTGACAGGGCTGCCCCTGTGAAGACGGCTCTGTCCCGTTTAACGGGAGAACACTGAGGCAGTGTGAGGGGTGTGGTTTATTTCACACCCTCTCCAGAGACATCAGGAGGCCCAGGGCAGGACCCAGGAGTCCGGGCCACTGTCTCCTGTCCCTGTTTGGGTTGGGTTTCTAGGACCCCCTTGGTGACCCCTGTGGCTAATTCCTTGCCTGGGTCCTGGGCGGGCCTGCAGTTTCCATGGAGACCGCCTCCCACCATCCCTGAAATCTCATTGTGACCAGTATTAAGAGATTAGCTCTGCCCAGCAGCCCTTGCAGGGTCTGGGGTGCCAGGGCGGCAGTGGGAGCTGCATCGGGGAAGAAGAGGCTGCCCGCTGTGCGCGGCCCCGTAGCACCAGGACCAGGATGTCAGCCTGGGGCCGGGGCTTCCCCTGGGACCCGCCAGGTATGGTCCTGACGCCACGTCCAACTGTAGAGCAGGACGGGGCGGTGGGAGACAGACACAGGACTGGGGGAGGAGTCTAGATTTGGGAGCAGTTGGAAACCTCCCACCCCCAAGCCCCCACCCCGGGAAGGCCCACCCCAGTGTCTTGATGGGCTCGCCCCATTCTGATCAAGGCAGGATTCAGATTTCCTCAACAAGGTAAGGGGAGCCTCGTAGAGTCCTTTAGGGCTGCTCCAAAGCTATCTGAAGATCAGCTACCTAATACTCTTCATTTTCACTTTGGGGAAACTGAGGCACAGAGCAGGACAGGGAGGTGTCCAAGGTGAGTGAGTCAGTGCACCGAAGCAGATCAAGAACACACAGGGAGCCCTGAGGTGGCCGAGCAGAAACATTTACTCAGACTGTCCCCTCTGCCTTGAATTCCAAGTCTTCCTCCCTGACTTCCAGGAATGGGGTCCCCCCCCTCAAGTCTTCTTCCCCCGGGCCTGTTCCATCAGCCACATGTCCCTTCCCTCCCTGCATCGCCTCCGCTGTCCTCTCCTGCCCCCAGCACGGCCCTGAGGCTGGCAGAGGGCTCCTCCCGGGCTCCACTCTGCTGGAGGGCATGATCCGCAGGCCCTACCTGTCCCATCTAGTGAACTTCCCCTCACTGGGTTACCACCGGGAAGACTTAAAACATGTATCTTTCCTGCTTCCTCCCCTCGGCGACTTTGGTGCTTGGACACCATGAGGCCCTGACAGCCCCCTACCCCCACCCCACCGCCTGCCAGGCCTGCCCTGGAGAGATTTAGGCCGGGCTCCAGCGCTCTGGGCCAGGTTTCCTGGAAGGCCACAGTGGAGCAGGGGGACAAACATGCCCCCGGGCCAGGGCGAGAGCTCAAACAGCAGTGACTCAGCAGTCCGAGCCTCGGTGTCCCCAGCTGCAAAGGGCACGAGAACCCTTCCTTCCTCCGAGCTTGCTCGCAGCTGCTATTGGAAAAGCTGGTAAAAGGGCAGGCAAGGTGCAGAACGGTGCGAGCGTGGGGATAATCATATGTGATCCTGTACACTGCCTGCTCTGTGTAAAGAAAACTTGGAAAGCACACGAGAAAGCAGAGCAGTGGTTACTTATGGTGAATTCAGAGGGTAGTGGGCTGGTGGTCAGGACGCAGAGGTGGAAGCGAGACCCATCACAGGATACCTTTTGCTTTTCGTTTTTATTTTTGAACCATGTGAACATAGCACCAATTCAAAAAATAAATTTAAAAAATCTAACAAATTAGGTAAACTGTCAAATCATCATCATCATCATCATCATCACCATCATCACACAGGCTTCAACAAGAGGGACAGGTGTGCAGCCCAGGATGAGATGCACTAGGACTTGGTTCACGGAGCAGAGAAAGCCTGGTCCCAGCCCGAATCCTCGGGCCCTGAATTTGAAGTCAGTCTCGTTCTGCCAGTAGCAGAATAACGGTCGTTGGTACCGAGGACCAGGAGCTTCCTGCTTGCCAACCACAGTGCCAAGCACTGTCTGAATATCCTCTCGCTGACTTGGCCTTCTGCCTCTATGAGGGATGTGTCATTATCCCCATTTTATAGGCGGGCAAACCGAGACGCACTGCAGTTGCAGGTACTGAGCCGTAGAACGCGGATGCAGCTCTAGGCCTTTCCTGCTCCGAATTTCACGCCCTCCCACCGGTGGGTCTCAATCTCGGCTGCACGTCAGAATCACTCGGGAACTTAAAAAAATACCGATACCCCGCACCCACCCCCACCCCTACCCCGAGATTTGATCATTGGTCTGTGATGGTGCTTGGACATCGGTATTTTTAAAAGGCCCCAGCAATTCTACTCACTATCAGGGTTGAATCCTTGCCTTATGCTAGACAATTTTTCAAATGGGAAACCAAGGCCGGGGAGGGGATGGCCTTGCCCTAGGTCACACGGTGGCAGGAGACAGAGCTGGGGCAGGGCTGGCATGGAGACTTCGTGCAAACAAGTAGAAGATACCCCTCTCTGGGCAGGCAGATCCCCATGGGCACTTGGCTCGGTAAGTGGAACGGGGCTGGACCCCCAGCTCCGCTCGCCGGGGACGCCCTGTGCAGTGAGCAACCATGCAACCGTATGCAGCGACCCCGACCTGATCCTCGGGGCTCCCACACACTTCGCTTCAGAGGCCTCCTGGCAACCCCTGGAGCCCTTCAGAACAGGGTGCGGGGAGACCCAGGGTGGTTTCTGGGATGCAGGTTTCTCCTTCACCCCAGAACAGGGCCGGCGCCCGGCCGGAGCCCCCCTCATCCTTCAGGCCCTGCAGGGGCTGGGCAGTCCCCATCTACCTCGCAAGGTCACTTCTGCAGATAAGGTCAGGATCGTAACCAGAGGGGAGAAACATAAACAGGGTAGCGATGGCCTCAGCCCAGAAGTCACAAGCCACCTGGCAGGAGACAGCCTTGGGGGAGGCCCCGCCCACACAGACCCAAGACCTCCTGGCTTCCTTCCTGATCACTTTCCCGACCAGATTCTCTTCCCTGCCTCTTGAGTCCTGGTCAGCATCTCCCACAATGTCCTGCTCTCTGGCCACACCATTTTCTCTACCTGTGGACATTTCTCTGCTTAGGGTGCCACCCTCTCTGGGAATCCATCCCCGACCACTCCAGCCCAGGGACACGTCTTCCTTCCCCCGCCTTCCAGCCCTCGCGGTCCATGCATAAAGCCCACCCGTGCTTTGGGACGGAGCTTATTTTATCCTCATGCTGGCCTGCTTTCACTGAGCACTGACTGTGTGCCCTGGAAGGGCAGGGTAGCCCCGGGGTTGGGAGCACAGGGTCTGGGGCCAGACTGCTTGGGTTGGAATCCCAGATCTTTCTCATAAGCAGCGTGAGCTCGGGCATATGGCTCAACCTCTCTGTGTCTCAGGTCGGGGCGATGGAAACACTGCCCATCTCAGAGGGGCTGTGAGGATGAACCAGTCAACCCGCAGAAAGCTCCCAGGCAGCTTTAGAAACGTCGGCGTGGTTAGCATTGCGCGCATCTCTGTCCATTTCATCCCCACGACCACCCAGTGAGTTGGGGGTTGTTACTCCCAATGTAAAGGTGAGGAAACGGAGGCACAGAGAGGTTGAGAGAGTCAGGGTAGGGCGTTGCATCCTTCTCTGTGGCCTAATGCCTGCAGAGAGAGGACGTGGCTAAACGGGTTATAACTTGGAGCCCCTGGTTTACAGCTCCTGGCTGCTCCTTGAGGATCCACAGGACACTAAGCCAGGTGAGTCCCCCTGACGCAGGCCTTCCAGTTGTCTCAGGCGCCGCTCCGAAGCGAGCTGGCCCCGGGAGGGAGGGGGCGTGGTGGAGCAGGGCGCTGGAGTACCATCTTGTTCACTAATACACAGAGTACATCGCCGAGGCCCAGAACTAGCTGCTGTGCCCCCTGTGCTGGCTGGAGACCCAGGATGCCTGGGATGGCCTTCCGCCCTCGCACGGGTCCCTTCCTCCCTCCAGCCTCCATCTCCCCATCCGTCCAGGGAGTGAGGGGCTGAGTCTGCATTTGCAGTTGTCTGGTGCTCGCTACCCGTAGCTAGCTCAACCTGTCACACGAATTGTTAAGGAACAGTGCACCCAAGAGGCAGGTGCCGGGGGAAGCGGGCCTGTGCACGTGTCCCTTGGCCCTGGGGAACCTCCAAACCCACTCTGAGTGGCCCCGGCCGCCTCTCCTGACAGGCTCTCCTGGCTCTGACACCGCAGGGTTCTCGAACCCCGAGCTCAGAAGCTGCCGCAGCGCATCCCTGTTTGGAAAGCTTCCCCGCAGCTGCCTTTATCTCTCTTTGGTAACAGAGCAAATTTGCTCAGGACCCAGAACAGGGGGAACTAGCAAACTGTTGACTCTTAGGCAAAACCTCCGCTCGGGAGGGCAAGCGGAGGATGTGCGTGGGGAGGCCAGTGGCCTCTTGCATAACCCGGGCGGCCTCCTGCCCACCCCGGCCTTTTCAGGGTTAGGGGTGAGGCAAACCGCAAACTCATGCCCGGTTAATTTTTTAAGGCAAAATCAACAGGCTCAGCAATGATTAGCAGGCAGGTAAGTTCGTCTTAATCGTGCTGAGGACAGGGAGGAAGGAGGCTCCTGGGGGCCCAAGGATGGGGCTCAGTTATCAGTTAACCACATGAATGTTGTTTCCTTCCAAACGCACTGGCCTTCAGCCCCAAGCTCCCTCATCTTCCTCTCTGGAAGCACTTCCATGGCAACCCCGTGGCCATCGGTCCTTGGGCGAACAAACACGCCGCCATCCCAGGTCCATGGGAGGCAGTGCCGGGGCCCCGGGGGGGCTGCCGTGGATATAAGGGGTCCTCACAGAGCTGGTGGTCTTCGTCTTAAGGCAAATCTCTCCCCCCACTACCGCTGTGTGGCCCTGAGCATGTCCTTCCCACCCCATGGGGCTTAGTGAGGGGCCCCCGGTCTACGGTTCCACCTGCGGCCAGCTCCCACACCCCGGGGGGCTCCTTGTCTCCGTCCACCAAACGTGGAGGTTGGCTGAGACACCTTTCCAGTCTCTAAGTTCTGTGAGGCCTGTTCTCCAGGGTGAGGAGGGTGGTAGGAGCGGAGCTTTAGGAGTCAAGGGGGTAGAAAAGATGCCCAGAACAGGGAGCATGCCTACCTGGTGTCTGCCGTCAGCACCTGCGAGAGTCAGATCCCAGCTCCAGAAGGAGGGCTGTCCTCTCAGGTGGGGGGCCGGAGTCCTGTGGGGCAGGATGGGGCTGCGGGAACGGCCCAAGGGGCCCACCGGGCCGGGCCCTCTTCGCCGCAGCCCGTGGGAGCAGCCAAAGGCAGCAGCCCCGGGCCTGCTGGCTGCCTGGACTGGAATTTGGTCAGTGGTTGGGGACCTATATTGTGAGAAACTTAGGACTTTGTCCACAAACTGGAATTTGAAATTTCAAAGGGGCGAAGCTGAAGGGCCCTACCCCAGAGTGGAGATGGCTTGGCTCCTTTCCCCCACGACTTTTGTTCTCTGTCTTGATAAGTCCCTGACTCCCTCCCCGCGTGCTCCCCGGTGGCGGGTGGGGGAGGAGACGGGAGACAGCGGGCAGGTGAGCGCCCGGGGAAGTGAAGGCTCGGGGCCGCCGTCTGGAAGATGCCCCTGACCTGGCAGGTGCTGGCCACAGGCCCCCTCGCTCCTTGCGCTCCCGAGCTCCAGGGCGGTAATGGGACGGTGGCCCCGCCAGCCCAGCGCTCCAGAATTCTGAGGGGTTTTTCATGGGAGTCCAGGAGGGAGGCAGCCTGCAGCGGGGGTGGGGGGACGGTGAAGCCCCCAGTTCTGGAGTCGGGCTCCGGTTCAACTCTCAGCCCCTCCTCCTTTGATCCCCGTGGCCTTAGGTAAGTCACTTCACGTAGTCTGGGAGTCTCAGCTTTGTCATCTGGAAAGTGGGGCAGATAAGCGGAGGAGAGTGCAAGGTTTTTAGCTCTGGGCCAGCACAGCTCGGGCTGCAGCACCCATCCCAGCACCTGGCCACCCGGGGCAGTGCTAAAAGCCACTCCCCCCTCCTCCTTGAGGCCTCTGTGTCTCCATCTGCAACATGAAGGAGCTGGACCCCGAGGTGAGCCCCGAGGTCCTCCGTTGGCCCCTGGGGAGCTGGGTCTGCAGCCCAAGGGGGCAGGGCAGAGAGAAGGAAGGGCAGCTGGGGGGCATTTGGGATCTCGCTCCCTTGCAAGTGTCGTCAGTCTGGCTCCAATACACTCTCACGAGCATGGACAGAAAGAAGGACTGTTGAGTTGATGGCATCAAGGCCAGGGCTCGTTCACGGCCGGGCCCGCCGCCTCCGGAGCCCTCCTGCACGGGGGCCCCGATTCCCACAGGCTGGGTGGCCGGTGGGTCGAGAGTCAACCACCGATGACAGCAACTGCTGCTCTTGCACAGCGTGCCTGTCCTTGGCCACTGTCGTCCAACTGTCACCGAGGAGAAGGTTTCAACCCATTTGTCTGATGCCAACACTAAGGCCAAGAGAGGTGGGGCAGAGCTTGGGAAGCTGGCAGTGCCTGGATGTTGACCCAGGTCGTTCTGATATCAAGACCTGTGGTTCGTCCTCCCAGGGGCTGGGGTCTGAGCGGGTGGGGTGGGGCTGAGAACCTTACAACGGCGTCTCATTGACCTGTCACAACGAGCTACGTGAGGCACGTTTTACGGAAGAAGAAAGCCAGGTTTCAGACTGATGCCCGTCATTCCTGCAGGCGGGGGGGGTGGTTTATAGGAGGAGCGTGAGGACGTTGTTCAGGGCCAGCTACGGGTGGGGCCAGCCCTGTACGAGATAGGTCATGTAGGTCACATGGTTCAAGAGTGGGAAGGTTTACTTCGGGGTGGGTTGCGGTGGGTGAGGGACAAAACGGGTCTCTGGAAGGTGCCTCAGTGCTCGGATGTGTTGTGCATCGGGCAGGGAGTGTGTGTCACGGTTTGTACACTCAGCAGCTCGTCCACCTGTGCGGGCTGTCCGCCGGCTAGTCCTTGTGCGTGAGCGGTCCAGTGTGGCGTGGCTCGCCCGAGGTGATCAGAGACCTCATTGAATTCAACGTAAGGTATCATGTGCAGAGATGGAGAGGTTGATATTTATGTGACCAATTCAACTCGGGCGTGCCAGCCATCCCAGGGCACTTCGGGGAATGTGGGACGTGGCTCTCCACATCCGAGACATGCCGCACGTGGAGGCCAGGCTGTGCTGGGCTGTGATGGGAGCGGCTGCGTGTGGCCCGTCACGGGTGCCAGACAGGTGGCCGGGCCTGGAGTCAGTCCTTGGAGGCACCCCACCCCCACCCCCACCCCCGGAGCTGCCGCACACTCCCCGTCGTGTTCACCCCGTCGCCGGGTCCCCAGCCCTGCTCAGACTTCCCCTGGGGCCTCTGGAGTCAGGACCAGACGTCCCTGAGCGGGCAGGGGAGGAGCCCACCCTTAGGGGAGGTCATCTAGTTCAGGCCCCCGTGGAGTCTCAAGTGTGGGCTGTGGGGGGCACTCCCTCTCCCCCCCTGGGGGTCTCATCCTGACCCACCCAGGGTCTGCTCCCCATTTCACCGATAGGGAAATTGAGACCCTGAGAGGGATGTGGTTTAAACACAGTCATCTGAACGGTGGCAGAGCGAATTCCGACCCCGGGTCTGCTAATGGCAAATCGTGCCTCCTTCTCCTCCCAAACATTTGCTGCCCCTCAGTCCCCACCCCAGGTATCTCAGCTCTGGCGGGGAGATGCAACCGGGAGAACAGAGCTACGTGGGCAAAGAAGAAGCTTCTAGTCATTGAAAGAACACGATGAGGGTGACTCCACACACTGCCTGTCCCACTGGCTCGCCTGCTCGCTCACTCGCCCACCCATGTGCGCGTTCACTCGCTAATTCCCTCTGTCACCAATTCGCCCACTCGTCAGTCCACTCCTCCCACGTTCATTCGCCCGTCTCCAAGTCACTCAGCCTTCAGTTCTCCTGCTCATTCATTCACCCGCCCACTCACGCATTAGTTCACTCTCTCACCGATTCACCCACTCCTCCCCGAGTTCATTCAGCCTGCCTCTAGTTCACTCGTTCTTCAATCACCCACTCGTGAACTCGCTGTCACTAATTCACCTGCTCTCACTAATCGGCTCTCTCACGCATCTACCCACTCTTTATTTTTTAATCCTCACCGGAGGATGTGTCCATTGATTTTAGAGAGAGCAGAAGGGTGTGTGAGCGAGAGAGGGAGAGAGACGGAGACAGGCATCAGTCGGTTGCTCCCGTGTGCACCCGAACCAGGGGTCAAACCCCCCACCCTTCTGGCGTACAAGACAACGCTGCAGCCAAGCCACCCGCTGGGTCCAGTCCACCCGCTCTCGCTCATGGTGTTACCGCGTCCCGCCGCCCTGGTCCTCCCAGCTGGCAGAGGAGAGCAGGCTCCCCGGCCTCCAAGCCTCAGTCCTCCTGCCTCTGCCCAGTGGGCTCCACCTTCCACCTTGTGACCTTGTGACCTTGCGACCTTGCGACCTTGCGACCTTGCCTCCGCAGCCAGGCTGGGCGCTCTCGGAAGTGCTGGTAAAGAGGGCGACGAGGACTGGAGGTGTGAGGGGACATGGGTGGGCCGTGAGCTCAAGGCGGGCAGGACCCCGTGTTCAGAAATTATTAAGAATTTCGGCAACAGCAGAGTATGGAACCAAACCCGGGACCCAGGTGTGGGCTCTGCACAGCTGCTCGGGTGGCACTCCTCTGCCGCCCACTCCGAGGGGAGGGGTGGGTGGAGAGGGACCAGGGAGACATGGAAGGGGAAGAGGGAAGGATGCCTCCTGGGCACCACTGGGTGCTTCACTGATGCCGTCTCACTGAGCACTGACACCACCCTGGAGGTGGACGGAGCTTCAGGTCCCCCCTCTGTAAAATGCACACAGAGGAGAATCATTTACCCAGAGTCACAATTAGTCGGTGGTAGGCGCCTGAGTGCAAATCCAGGTCCGTGGGGCTGCAGGTCCTTGTCTCTGCCTGTCTGGGGGGCAGGAGGGGACAGCAGGATGTGACAGGGAAGGAGAGATGGAGTCTGTCTGGCCCGGAGCAGCTGTGGGGACTTGTGGTGGCCATGGCGGGGTCACGGGGAGCAGGGCAGTGGAACCGAAAGCGAGTCTGGCCCCACCAAACCTCCAATTCATTCGGCTCCCAAAGAGGGTGGGAAGCTGGGAGGGAGCTCCCAGTACGAGGATCCAGGAGATCGGTATCTGGACCTTGGGATTTAGGTTTGTGATTCGTGAGCCGGGAGGCAGCTTTATCTCCGTAAGAGCGCTGAGGGTGGCGGTCAATGATTCGGGGAGGCATTGAGTTAGGGCGCCTCGGTGGTGGCCCTCCGCGCCCCCGCATATCAGCTAGACTGCCTGACTTGGAGCGACAATGACTTGGAGGGCGGCTGAGCCAGGGGTCAGACGAGTGCTCGCGAGCCCGCCTCTCCATCTTGCGGAATCAATAACTGAATATTGGTGAGTGAAGGCCCCACCGGTTGTAGCAGCGCCCCGGGTGTCTGCCAGAAACCAACAGACAGCCAAATCCCCGCGGCCCCGCCCAGACCGTCCGCCAGTGGGGGAGCCGATTAACCATTAACCCCCACCCCTCCCTGGCAGAGCCTCCACCCCTTCCCAGACGCTAGGCCAAGACTCCGGGGAGAGCCTCCCAGAGGACAGTTGGAAAGGCAGGAAGGCAGAGAGCCGCTCTGGGAGGAGACGGGGGGAGGAGGGTGCAGGGCGGGGGCCACTCGGCCAGGAGCCTTCGAGGTGGGCCTCCTGGGCAGGGCAAGTGACTGAGGTGTGGAGGGGGGAGGATGCGCCTCTCCAAAACCCTTGTCGACATGGATATGGCCGACTACAGCGCTGCGCTGGACCCCGCCTACACCACCCTGGAGTTCGAGAACGTGCAGGTGTTGACCATGGGCAATGGTAGGTGGGGGCAGGTGTGCCCGGGCCGCACGGAGCGGGGCTGCGGCCCGCAGGGTCGGGTTGGACGGAGAAGGATAGGCAACGTCCAGGTCGGTTCGATAATGCAGCACGGGTGTTGCCAGGCGAAGGGAGCGTGCCCAGGTACAGTGAGCAGGGTCTTTCCGGGTCGGGGGCGGCCTGCACGGGCAGATCCCCAGCAAAAGCAGACCCCAGGAATCCCTGCCAGGCCCTTCCAGCCCCTGGGACCTCAAAGCCGTTCCTGCTCAGTGTGTCCCTGGGAGCCGGGCCATGACTGTGAGCTCCGTCTTGACATCCAGCTCTAGGGCTGGGGCCCAGCACGGCCCCTTCTTGAATCCCATGGGCCTGGGTCCAGGGCGATGGACAGGTATGCACGGTCCCTGGAGACGGCGGATGGAGGCACAGCTGGGCTTTAGGGCGTCTTCGGGACTTTCCTGGGGTAAAGGCCCCACTTAGACAAAATGCAGTTCTCAGGGAAGTTTTGCTAAATGTGTGTGAGTACTTGCGTGTGTTGTGTGACCTCCTGGTGCAGTGTGACACCTGAGTTTCCCTGCAGGTGGGTGGGCGGGTGGTAGCCTGGGTTGGCAGCCGCGTGCCTGCGGGAACCATGAGCATATTTGTGTCTGTGGGCACCTGTTCTGTGTCCACTTCCACTTGTGTTTGTTCTTTGAGTGGGTCTGTGCGGGTTGGTGTCTCCAGAGGTGCCTGTGTTTCTCTTGCTTAGGCATGGAAGTGGCAGTGCATGTGTGTACTTGTGTCTGCACACACGTACTGTGGATGCGGGTTTGCCGGTGTGCCCTGTGTTTCCCGGGCGCATGTGCCTGGCAGGGGCATTCGAGTCCCGCTCTGCGTGTACCCGCTGGTGTGCATGTGCGCACCCCTGCCCTGGGGCCGGCCCTCTCTGGCAGGCACGATGTGCGGACGCGCTGTGCGGGGTTCGGACATTGCCGTTCTCCAAGTGAGAGTCTCACCAGCAGCACGTCTGTTTGTCTTCGAGCAGATACGCTGCTTGCATGTGTCTCCCAGGTTTATGCGTCTGCTCCTACATCACTGGGACCCCATCTGAAGGGGAGAGGGGGTTCTCCTCCACAAGGAGGTGGGGGAAGGAAGGAGGCTTGGAAGCCAGGAAGTTTCTGGAGGGGAAGGTCCCTAACTGGTGGCAGGCCAGCCTCAGAGGAAAAGTGGGTGGCAGCTCTGCGAGGTCAGCCTGCCCCCGGCCTCAGGCAAGGCCTCTGAGGCTTGCGGTCTGTTTGGCTAGGCCACAAAGAGGGGGCTGCCCTGCCGGTGATCACTGGGCACTGTCCGTGGTCGATCCCACCAACTGCTCGCCTGCCCCTGCCACCAACTCTCTGTGTGACCTTGGGTATGTCACCTCCCCTGTCCCAGCCTCTTCTTCAGAATGGGCTTAATCACCGCATACCTGCTTGGCGGCTGGCTTTGAGGAGTGTGCAAGAGTCACATGAGGAAACTGAGGGAAAAACACACAGGAAATGGTAAACAAAGAGCTGCCGTGCTAGGCGGGGTGCCGTGTGACCCCACAGGGACAGTGTGTGCTGTCACACTGCTGGCCACCACCCAGCCCCAGGCCGCTCCCTGGGACTGGCGCCATCTCCCCCCTCCCCCCACCAGAGCTCGTGCCTCCAGCTCCCGGGCATCCCGTGCTCCCGACAACGCGGAGGCCAAGCCCCCCGACTGGGTGTCCTGAGGACAGGCAGCCTCCTGCTCGGGAGCCAGAAAGACCAGGCTCCAGTTCCGGCATAGATCCTTTCCTGCTGGAAACTCAGTTTCCTCATCTGTAAAGTGCGAATAAATAACAGCACCTGCCCTCCCCCGCCCCCTAGAGGATGAATAAGGTGCCTGAGAGCCCAGCTCTGCTAACTGGTACTGGCTCCACAGGCATCGTCCCGGGAACTCTGAACAACCATGGAAGGGTTTACACATTCTTTGCTGGAGTTTGAGACGGTCTGAGAGTTGAGGTTGCGTTTGGCATAGGTGCTGGGCTGCTAGCTCAAAGGCCCAAGGATAGCTCTCCACCTGTCCCCCACCTCCAATTCGGAGTCAGCTGCAGCAGACGGTTGTTGCTGCGGAGGCCCAGTAGACACCCCAACAATGGTGGTCGTGGCCAGAGTCATCCGGGTCACCTGGGCCGTATGTCTGGCTCCTCTATTAGCAGCAGCGTGATAAGCCCAGGCAAGCCGCTTGTCCTCTCTGAGCCTGGTGTTGTCACCTAGAGAAGGGGACCCATCAGCTGATCCCAGGGGTGAAGTATACACTTGGCAGCACCCCTCCCCCCAGCCTCAACCTGAATGGCCACAAACTGTGGGGTCAGCTCTTCCCAGGGGTCTGGGGAGGCGAGGCTGAGGGAGAAAGGGCACAAGCACGGCTTAACAATTATCCCCATCTCCGGGAATAATTCACCAAGTGGGGGGGCCGCACTCCGGGGCACCTTCGGGAGTCTGGGAGGAGGTCAGCCAGGCAGCGGCAGAACGAAACGCAGCGGCGTCCGCTTGCGCATGGAGGCCGGAACTCTGCTGCTCTGAGAGTTTTCTTCCGCAGACAAGTTTTTATTTCACACATGCTGGTGTAGTGCTTAGTGTATGACAAACACGTCACTGAATCAGCATAACAGCCCTAGGACACTTTTCTCCTCGAAGTTAATTAATTCAGCCAAGGTCACACGGGCTAGAAAGTGGGCAAGCTGGGATTCAGACTTGGCAGAAGGGCTCCGGATTCTGTGCTCCTAACACAGCACCATGTCCCTCTCCGGTCCTTAGCTGGGTGTTCCCTAGGAAGTCAAGGTCAGGTACAGCGTTCCTGTGAGAACGTGCGTGTTATGACTTTGTGTGGTGTGCACACGCATGCATTTGTGGGGGAGGGGGAGATGGGACACAGTGTTTATCATCTTCTCCAAGAGGTCTATTCCCGGTGGAAGATTTGCTTATAAAAAGAGAGTTTGGCTACTGAAATTTAAAAAAAAATTAAAAACCGTTGGACCAGTAGAACTACCTTCTTTATATTTAGAGGAACCTAGGCCCAGGGGAAATTGAGGCAAGGGGAAAATCTCGCCCGAGGTCACAGGCCAGTTAGTGGCAGCATCAGCACTAGCACCCAGAACCCATAGCACCCAATCCAAGGTCTCTGCCACCTGCCTCTGATAGCCCTCCTCACACTTATATAGACGCCGTAGCCACTGCCCTTGATGCCTGCCTCCTCATCTCCCAGGAGGGTTGGCAGGGCCCCTGGGCACTGAGACCACCAGCCCTAGTTACTCAGGAGAAGGGAGGGGCAGGACCTGTTCCTGGGCAGATGCTGGGGGAGTATGTCTCCCTCCCACAGCCCCTCTGCCCAGTCAGTCAGGGCCCATAAGGGTTGGATGCATCCTAGGGGGCAGCCAGTTCTTCATTCCTTCCCAGAGAAAGCTGGGCTAGCAGTCTCCACCATGCCTCACCAACCGCTCTGGGAGGTCACTGTCACAACCAGCCCTAAGTTAGAGATGCCAAACAGGCTCCAAAAGGCTCCCAAGGTCACCAAGAGAGTGGGGACAGCGTGGCCTTCTGGCTCAGGCTGAAGGCCTGGGGAGAGCCCCACAGCACTCGTATTGCTTTGTGAGTCTTAGCCACCGGAAGAACAGGGCCTCTGGGAGGTGACCCTGCCCCCCCTGCCCCCACCCCGAGCCCTCACTGTTCTTTCTTCTCGTGCAGACACATCTCCATCAGAAGGTGCCAACCTCAGTGCAGCCAACAACCTGGGCGTCAGCGCCTTGTGCGCCATCTGCGGGGACCGGGCCACGGGCAAGCACTACGGCGCCTCGAGCTGCGATGGCTGCAAGGGCTTCTTCCGGCGGAGCGTGAGGAAGAACCACATGTACTCCTGCAGGTGCGGAGCCCCTCCTGGGGGCTTGGCTTCTCCGGCTGGGAAGTGAGCACCCTAGGGCGCATGGTCCCCAGGGTCTGTCTTCTCCCTGATTGGGTCCCAGGGGCGTCTGTCCTCCGAGGTCTGTTTGTCTGGTTTTGTAGGCCTTGTGGGTTCAGATGGGAACGGCCTCTCTAGGAACCTCACTCACTGATCAGAAAGCTAGCGGCTGCCTGTTAATGAGCACTGAACTCGCGGGCGCCGCACTAGGTCCTGCACGCTTGTTGTTGTCTTTCCCACTGAGCCAGTAGGCATCCGTGAGGCTTGGGATCAAGCTGCCTCTGACGGCTCCGAGGATGGGCCCATCCCCCAAACTGGGGCTTTTCCAGGGGCGACTAGGAGATTGGCCCCAGGCCTTTCCATGGACTCCGAGGGATTCCTAAAGCCTTAGAGGTCCCTCCTTGGAAAGATCTGCCATTCTGGGTGACAACAATAAGGAAGTAATAGCCATTGGTGATGAGCATGGTTTTAAGCTCCATCCATGTACTGTCTTCCCCTGTCACTGCCCCTCTGAGGCGGTTACTATTACTATTTCCATTTTACAGAGGAGGAAGCTGTGGCTTGGAGAGGGTTTGGAATTTGCCTATGGTCACCCGGCTTGAACCAATGGCAGAGCCCGGGCTGATGCTCAGGGCTCTACCTGCGAACACTGTGGGGCACCGTCTTTGCTTATACCCCCCTCCGGAGAGTGGCCTACGTGGACCAAGTACTAACCCCTAGCTGTAACCAGGACCCTGCCCTGGCTCTGGGCTCTTACAGGATGTGGTGCAGACAGCGGTGCTTCGATACTCAAGGGGCAGGGGCCAGGGTTCCCACCTTGGCTCTACCACCAGGCCGAGCGACCCAGGTGTACATGTGGCAACTCTGAGCCTCAGTTTCCCCACATTTAATAGGACCGGGTTGGACGCCATAGAGCCTTTCTCATGGTTACCATGAGAACTCCTGGGGGGAAGGGTTGGAGCCAAGAGGTTGGGGACCCCCCAGGTGGCCAGAGGTCTCGTTCCAGCCTGGGGGTGGGAGGGCTGTCCCTTCTGCATCTGACCATCCGAAGCCCTCCCCAGATTCAGTCGGCAGTGCGTGGTGGACAAAGACAAGAGGAACCAGTGCCGCTACTGCAGGCTCAAGAAGTGCTTCCGGGCTGGCATGAAGAAGGAAGGTGAGCCTCGGCCCTGCCCTGCCGCCGCCGTCCCACCCGCACCCGCCCGCAGCTCCCCACGGCCATTTACGACCGTGGCCGCAACTTTATGACTCGGTGACAGGCCCCAGGGTGACTGGCTAATGGCTGAGAGAAGGAAGAGCCTAGAAATCTGACCACAGGGAGGGGCTGGGCTTGGTCTTGAGAACATTCGAAGAGATAAGCTCCCACTCTCAGCTACTTGGGTTCCCAGCACCGCCGCAAGGCAGCCAAGTCGGTGGTTTATTCACACACACACACACACACACACACACACACACAGTTTTGAATATTAAGGAAGGTATAGAGAATGGTGTTACAAATGTCCGTGTATCGCCCTGACTCGGATATGAATGGGAGGGAGGCTCTGTTCCCGAGCTTCCTGTCCAAGGGCAAGCCCAGCCCCTCTGCCGTCATTGTTGAGTACCGGGTGAGTCAGGCTTTCCCGTTCCAGGGAACGGGAACAAGGTGCCCAGCTCGTCCCGGGAGGTGGAGGGAGAAGGGGAAGATACTAGTGGACACTAATCCCTGCGCTGGCCTTTCCCACGATGGATCGCGCTCTTTGTCCTTGTGACAGCCCACCGTGGCTGGCGCCATCACTGTTCCCTCTTTTCACGGATGAGGGGATGGAGGCCTCACCAGAGGCCCCCCAGCTGGCCAATGTGAGGTCTGCGATTTGGCCCCCGGTGCTACCAAGTCGAATTTGGTGACGTTTGGACGACACCTCCATGCTGGCTACTTTCCACCCTCCAGGCCTCAGGGACATTTAGAAATTTTTTAGCACAGGCTCAGGAAGCAACAATATTTTAGCTGCTTCTTTCTTACTTTCAAATCCCTTTTTCTCCCCGAGCCTCACATCTCCTGGCTCTGAGACCGGCCGTGGGCCTTCACTTCGGGCGCCCTGGCCAATCCTTTGGTGTGGTCCTGCGCCCCTCCTGCTGCTGCCCCACCGTCCAGCAGGACCCCGGGGCCTGCCTGCTGGGCCTCCTGAGGAGAGGAACTCAGCTATATCAGCCTCTCCTCCCCCGTGTCTGCCTCCAAGACCCCGTTTCCTCTGCTTTTGCCCTAGAAAACATCTTCCGTGTGTCCATCCTCCTAATGGGGCCTTGGTTTGAGCGCACGAGTCCCGTTGGCAGACCTGGGCCTGCCGACCCAGCCGGGGGAGCGGCACCTCCTGCTCTTGGCACGGTTCTAGCACCCGGACCTCCGTGGTCCCCAAGGCAGGGCAGGGGGGCTCTTTCCAAGGGCAGATGCCCCCATCTCTCTCGGCCCTGCCCATGTCCACGGCAGGGTGGGGGGAGCCTCTGCCACCCACCGTCACCTCCGAGTTAGGAGCCACTCCGTGGAATGAGAAACGTTACAGATGGGAATGTGATACACAGGGGTAGGCAAACATAGACTAGTAACAATGATAAATGCCACAGCAATAAGCAGCAGCACGAGAGTAAACTCTGTTTTAAACGCTCACAACTGTAAACCGACTTTTGCCCACCCCCTATGTGTGAACAGCTGGTCGCAAGAGGGAGGCTGAGAGCTGTAGTCTAAGCGCCTACCGGTCCGTGGTTCTAATAGTCAGTGATCCCATTACCCCGGAGTCTAGGGTTTTAGGTTCAAGAGAATGAATCTCTCATATGAAAATTTTGCGCCTGTGCCAGGCAGGTGGCCGAAGGGTTGGTGGCCTTCCTGGACTGAATGTGGCCTGGCCCAGCTGTGGTCAGTCTTTACATATGTCCCTTGTTACGCATTCAGAGCTATTTTCATGTGTGTCTTTTCGGGGGTGTCTCTGCTCCTTCCGGACTCTGTAAAAGGAGGGGGTTGGTAATGATCCCTCCCAGCTTCGAGAATGTCACCACAGACACGGGGACCTGTGTGTTTGTTTTCTGGCCTTCCCCCAAAGCTGCCAAGGAGACCCAGGCCCATGGCCTGGTACCTCGAAGGGGAGAGAGCGAACCACGCCACCCTGCCATAGCTTAGCCTGGAAAATAGCCGTTGCTTCTTGGCTCAAGGAAGGTGGCACTCTGCCAGGGGGGTTGGAGAACTGGCTGATGGCAAGTCAGCATGGGCGAGTGGATGCTGGTGGCTATTTACACGCCCGGGCTGAGACTGTGTCGTGTGCACATGTGGCCTGGGTGCTTTGAGAGGGGCCAGGGCAGCAGCGTGTTCTGTTGCCACAGTGGTCAGACTCTGGGACGCTGAGGGTATTACTGGTTCCGCCGAAGTGTCCCAGTCCCAACACCCTCCTCAGCCTGGTCGGAAGTTCCCGGGGCCAAGAGAGAGTTTTCGAGGCCGCAGGGATCGGCAGAGTTGAGACAAGTTTTCATTTTTCTTCTTGATGGTCTTAGCAGGATTTGGGCATTGAAACCCAAAAGTAGTCCCCGAGGGGCCAGCTGTGTGGTGATAGGTAGTCACTAGACTTTGAGGATGATTCTTTGCAGAATATATAAATATCAAATTATAACATGGCATACAGGACACATATTTATCTTAGAAAGTAGTTCCCGGGGACAGGAAGGCATGTACTGAAAACAAAATGTATGGACCAGCCAGGCTTATATGAGGCCATCAAATCTACCTCCTCCCCACTTCACAGATGGGGAAACTGAGGCCGGGGAAGTGACATGATTGGCTCCAGGGTGGAGTCAGAACTAGAACTCAGGCTCCCAGAGCTGGGCAGACACCAAGCTCCCAGGTTCGAAGCCGGGGGTGGGGGACGGGGAGAGGGTCCAGCATGGAAATCATCTCAGGTCCAGATTCCTGCAAGTTCCTCTCGACCCCAGAGAAGGGCTCCAATGGCCAGAGGTTACTCCGTGGTGGCCAGAAGCGGGTTCCCCGAAGTGACAAAGACTCTGGGGAGAAACCCAGGGGCCCATGGGCACAACAATAGGGGGAGAATTCTTTCCTGTAACCCCGGCACCTACTTGACACTCCGCTGCCGGACCTGGGACAGAGGTCGGGTCCCGGCACCGCACCGGAAGCCCAGCCCAGGAAGCAGGGCCGGGGTGCAGGAGGTGGGTGGTGGGGCCTGTCTTGGAACCCCAGCCCAGCGCCCCCACAGGCCCCCATCCAGGGGCTCTCTGAGAAGAGAAGCTCATCCTCCTCTCCGCCTCTGCCCGGGCTGGTTAATATTCAATAGAAGTTACATTAGGTCCCCGACCCCGCTAATACTGAGCAAACATTTGGAAAACATCATTCCGTGACTGAGCTCGCGCCGGGCACTGATAAGGCGGCCTAACCTTGAGGAGCCCTGTCCTCGGCTGCTGACAGCAGCCCTTTTATTCCGCCTGCCTCCTCGGCCGGGGCCGTGGGTGCGGGCCGCTGTGGGAGCGGTGTGGGCGGGGCGGGCGGGCAGGGCCGGCGCTGGGGAGCGGCTCTGGGAGCTGGCCCCTGGCAGGGTGGCGGGTCTCCCCAGAGACTCCTTATCTGGGCACTTCTGTTTTATTCCACTGACTCCCCGCTCCGGTTAGACTGTCCAACTTTCGTTCTCTGATTTCCACAATGTGTGAAATCTCGAGACAGTTGAGTAGCCGGGATGTGAACGTTGCCCCGAGAAACAGGGCACAGGGTGCTCCCGCACCCTCTGTCATCCGCTGGACACACACTTACAGGGTGCCTGCTGGGCGCCAGGCTCTGTTCCAGCTGCTGGGGCCACAGCAGTGAGCAAGAGGAAGGAAGTGCTTTCTGGAGCTCTCCTTCTCAGAGAGAGAGAGAGAGAGCGAGCAAAGAAATGCACCTAGAATTCGGCAGTAAGTGCCAAGAGGAAGAATAAAGCAGGGTGAAGGGCAGAGCGTGAGGAGGGAGCGCCCCATCAGATGGGCGGTCAGAGGGGATCTCTGAGAGCATGACGTTTGCGCAGAGACAGGAGAGACATGAAGGTGCAGCTAAGCCGCCGGGGAGAGGGTTTTAAGGAGTGGGAAAGGCCCTGGTGCAGAGCGGCAGGGTGAGCGGTGGGGGCAGGTTTGGGGGACAGCGAGTAAGCAGAGGAGATGGGAGAGGAAGGGCCACAGGGACGGGCGAGCTGTGGCTTTTCCCCGGGGGAGGTGGGGAGGCACCGGCTTCGAGTGGTGGAGGGACTCCAGCGGAGTTTCAGTGTTAGCTCACTGAGAGGCGCACGGGCTGCTGCGGGGCAAGGCCAGGAGCACAGGGACCAGTGAGGAGAAGGCAGGGCCCAGACGGAGCGGGAGCTGGGGACAGATTCTGTGAGGCTTACTGACAGCGTGTGGGGCGCGAGCGGAGGCAGAACGTGAGAACGAGACTCCCAGGCTGGATGTGGGAGAATAAGCCTGCGTGTTCCTGAGAAGGGAAGGGCCGCAGAGCAGCGGGTTTGGGGGGCAAGAGCTGATAGAGGGGGCCCTGTGGGCCCAGAGAGAGGAGGTGATTCCCACCAGCACTCGCGGAACGAGTGGCAAGATCGAACGGGACCCGGGTCTCTGCCCACTTCGCCCTCCCTCCCCCCAGCTCCCGCCAAGCCTCAGTGCACAGGGAGGCCTCCCCCAGTCCGAGGGGCCAGGCCACGGCAGCAGAAGGTCTTTCTCACATCTCAGGCCAGGACTGGCCCAGAGGGGGTGTGCAGCGGGGTGTGGGGCCCTCATGGACAGAGGTCCCAGATCTCGGAGTTCCTGGAGAGAGCCCAGCAGCGGGGCCGGAGGACAGTGTTCCTCGCTGTCCCCGAGAAGGTCAGTCCAGAGCACAGGCAGCTCCTGCTGATGCGGGAGGCTGCCAGGCCAGGTGTGTAGCCTCAGGTCCCCTTTTCTCGACCTTCTGCCTAGGGGTTCAGGAATCCCTGGGTCATCTCGTGTCACCCAAAGGGGTTCATTTTGCTTGTTGTGCGCACTTTCATCTGGAAAGAAAGGGACCCTTTGCCAAAACAGAGCTGGAAAACCTGCTCTCTAGACAGATGCCTTCTTCAATGCTCAAGACCCACCTTAAGCCCTCTGCCAAGTCATCAGTGACTTGCATGCCTCCAGTGATGGTCGGATCACTCCTGCAGGCACTGCGTTGTGTTGGGACAGCTCTGGCACTTGGAAAGTTCTTCCACAAGCTGGGTTAGATCCATCTCCTGTCCTTCCCACAAGCCGGTCTGAGCTCCGCCCCCTGGACGTCCCCCTCTTACTCCCACCTCCAGCTGTGCCTCCTCTGCTGCAGGGCAGCCCTGCAGAAACCTCTTTCTGGGTTGAACTCTCTCCCCTTGCACCTCACCCACTACCCATCAGCCCCGAGGAAACCCTCCCCTCTGCCACACCCCTGCCTTCCCTCCTCACCTGCCTCTGCTTCCCTCACAGCCGTGCAGAACGAGCGGGACCGGATCAGCACACGCAGGTCAAGCTATGAGGACAGCAGTCTGCCCTCCATCAACGCGCTCCTGCAGGCCGAGGTCCTGTCCCAGCAGGTACTGAGGTGACCCCTCCACCCACCTGGGGACCCCCACACACTGAAGAGGGGTCGCCTCCACCCCGTCCTCCCCAGCCAAACCCTGGAGCAGCAGCTAGAAGGACCCTCAGCTATCACAGAAGGGAAACTGAGTCTGTGTCACACAGCCAGTGCAGTAGCCAAGATGAATCTCGATCCCGGCCTGGCGCTCTGGGGCACTTGTAGTTCGTCCATGGCCTGCAGTGCTCAGGCCAAGCAGAGCCGTCGCTGTCACTGAGGCCTGAGGTCAGCTGTGCCCCAAGCGAACAGGGAAGTGAACACGTGGACCGAGGAGCAGGCTGGGCCTCAGCCAGCCTCTCGCTGTGTGACCCGGGCAAGTCACAGCACCTCTCGTGGTCTGTGGTTTCTTCATCTGTCAGATGAGGATGATTATCTCTGCCCTGCTTCTCCCCGAGGGCTGAGGGGCCCCTTGGGATTCCAAGGAGCTGGCGGGAGAAAAGGCGGGGATGGGCAGCAGGTGAAGGCCCCGAGGGGGCCCTCCTCCCTCCTGTCTGCTGTCTTCAGCCTCTTCCTTCTGTCCGTCTCCCCTTGCGCTTCCTCCAGAGCCGAGAAGGCACATGGGGGCCCGTCTCCCCCTGTCCAGGCAGGGAGACTGCCTGAGGAGGGGCCTCCGTGCAGGTGCGGAGGGCGTGGGGTGGGCCCAGCCTTCCCCAGCATTCCCCTTCCTCTCCCCCAGATCACCTCCCCTGTCTCCGGGATCAATGGCGACATCCGGGCAAAGAAGATCGCCAGCATCGCGGACGTGTGCGAGTCCATGAAGGAGCAGCTGCTGGTGCTCGTGGAGTGGGCCAAGTACATCCCGGCGTTCTGCGAACTCCCCCTGGACGACCAGGTGCGGGCCGGCGTGGATTGTGGGCGGAGGGGCCCTGGGCCGGGGGGCCCTGCCGGCCCACGGGGGCTAGAGCCTTGGGCTGGGTTGATGTTATTTAACGAGATGCACATAGTGTTCTTGTGTCCTGGAATTCTTTAAATCACTTTGCAAATATTAACTCATTTAATCCTTCCAACAACACTATGAGGTAGTGTTGTTATTAGTTCCGTCTTACAGGTGAGGAAACTGGGGTACAGAGAGGTTGAGTAACTTGCTCAAGGTCACACAGCTAGTGCCCAGCAAAGCTGAGATTAAAACCAGGCAAGCAAGCTCCAAAGTCCAGGGGCCCAAGGCCAGCAATCAGGACATTTAGGACTGAGCCCTGGTTTTAAGACTGGTTCTCTGTGTGATCTTGGACAGATTACTTCCTATTTCAGTTTTCTCATCTGTCAAGTCGAAACCATAGTACCCGCCTCAGAGCTGCTGGGAGCGTCGAGGACATTACCATCCGAAAAGTGTGAACCGTGTAATGAGGACACGCAGTGCCCAGGCCCCAGCTGGCCTCCCTAGATGTCAGTTTCTTCCTTGTGCCCCACTGAGAGGGTCGAACTCAGCGTTTCATGTCCCAGAGTACATTCCTTGGCACGCTAGAAATGTCTCAGGGGAACACAGGGGAGCGTCTGAGGACACACGGGCTTCTGAGGTACTGCAGATGCTGGCTCCGGCTTAGCGCCCCGTTAGGCGGCTACGGGCGTGAGCCCCGTCGGAGAAAGGAAAGCTGGGAGGGGTCACCTTCTCGGCTGGCTCCGAGGGAAGCTCAGGGTCACCGATGGCCAGGGCCAGGATGTCAGCTCCTGGTGCATTGGATTCTCTGCTTTGCACAAAAGACTGGCAGCGCACGTTGGTCTATTAAATTCCCCAAGAAGCCCCCCAGGTGGGGCAGCTGTCGAACCGTGCGGACAGGCCCAGGGCTTCTGACCTCCTCCCTCCTCCGGCACCGGGACTCCCCTGGAACGCGGTTAGCATCCCGCGGCGGGACACGCCGCACAAACACCAGTCCGGCCTGCCCTCGGCCCCACACGGGGTCTGGGTCGGATGTCCTCTCACGCGGACTCCTCCTGCACTGGGAGGGATGGCAGGGCAGGGAGCTTGGCACAGCTGCCCCTGCTTTCTCCCCTGCTCCTCTCGCTCTGGCCCTGGTCCCCTCTGCTGGAGAGGCTACATTAATGTTTAATCCCTCCTGTTCCTTCCCAGGGGCTCAGCAGGGCAACAAGACACCCCCAAGCTGAACAATTGTTAACCTCGATTTCCCACCCAAACCTCCCTGGCTGGGGCTCAGAGCATTCTCGGAGAGCAGTGATGGGTGGCCGATAGCACAGGACAATCATTAACACCCACCCCCTGCCCGCTCACCCCCAGAACAGCCCCCATGTCAGGGGACAGGACCGGGGACCATGAGGGTTCCCAGCTCTCCTTGCATGGTCGGTGTATAAGGAACCCATCTTGCTTAAGATGGGGGGAGAGGAGGGAGGAGGAACACCTGGAAGACTTGGGGGTCACTGTCTCCCAAAGGACACCCCAAATCTGTAGACACTGCCCCAGGAACCACCTTCCAAGTGTGTTTACTTCTCATTTCGTTTGGGGTATCAACCCGTGGAAACCTAGAAGGCTGGGGAGCATCGGACGAGGGGCCTGAGGCCTAGAAAGGGAGAGCGACTTGCCCAGGACCACAGAGCACGGCAGCCACAGCGCTGGGGTTCGGTGCCAGGTCTTCGGCCTCTCGGTGTGAGGGCCACCGGTTCTGTGACAGAACCCTGCACGGTCCCGGGGGAGCGGTATGGGAAGTGCGCAGTAATCAGCGTCCTCGTCCTGGGCGTGGGACACGCACTCGCCCCTCCTGCTGGCCATTCTGCTCTTGGCCTGTCACCCCCACAAGGTCTAACCACAAGGACATGGACCAGGGAAGGACAGGCGGCTGCCCAGGAGGGGCTGGGTCTGGAAAGGAAGTTAACGAGTTTGCTCGTTGGTTCATTCGGCCGTTTCTTCCTCCCTTCCTTCCTTCCTTCCTTCCTTCCTTCCTTCCTTCCTTCCTTCATACACATATTTACTGACCGTTTCCTATGTGCCTTAGAGCACACTTGCCTCCTTAGATAGGCCTTTTCTGACCTCGCTGTGCATGCGGTCAGTCTTGTCCCATTGCTCCTTATCACGTGACCCTCCCCTCCCTCCCCCCATCCTTCCCTTCCTTCCCAGCTCCCCTCTTCTCCTCTTCCTCCCTCTCTCTCTCTCTCACTTTCTCTCCCTTTCCTTTCTTTTCCTTTTCTTTCCTTTCCTTTCCTTTCCTTTCCTTTCACCACTGTGCCCCCATTGTCTAGAAAGTGTCTGTCACTTAGTAGGCACTTGACATTCGATGACCGAAAGAACAATCAAATGAATGAATGAACAAAAGCAATTTTCCCTCGGAACTTAGCCTGTTGTAAGACCTCGAAACTCCCTAACCCAGCCTTGCAGACAAGACCCTGGAGGGCACCAGCCTGTTCCTGGCTTGTCTCTCCCATCCCTTGGATCTCACGCGAGCTGAGTGCTAAAGCAGGTGGTCTGGAAGGGCAGGCCGCGTCCTGGGAGCTGGCTGGGCTCCTACCGCTGACTTCAGTCTTCCAAGGCAGCCTTGTCCTCTCCCAGAGAAGGGGTCTGTGAGCTCGTCCCCTTCCAAGGACCAGTGCTCATCCCTGTGCTTTCGCTGGGAACCAACGTCCACGCCCAGTTTCTTGTAACTCCCTCCCAGAACCCTAGAACCTTGCGCTGTCACGTGAGGGTTGCCCTGGAGATCTTCCGGAGCGGCGACTTCCCAAACACAACGGCACGTGTCAGGGTCAGCCGGGGAGCTTATTCAGTACAGATCCCTGGGCCCAGCCCCACACATACAGAATCAGAATCTGGTCGCAGAGCCTGAGAATCTGCATTCTTATAAAACACTGTTCATAATCTTTCGTAGCAGGTCCGTGGGTAGGAATTTGGGACCCACAGTTTCGGAACGTTTAGGGTAGTAGGCCCTCTTCCCAGTCTGGTGAGAGCCCCTGAGCCCCTAATGAAAAAGCACACCCCGAATATTGTCACAGTTTCATCAGACACAAAAACCAGGCCCAAAGGGGAGCAGCAACTTGCCCAAGGACACAGAAGTTCAAGGTCAGAGTCAGTGTTTGGCCTCTCCGCTCTGAGTACATGTTCTTTCCCCTTCTGGGTTTCCACTGAAGCTCTCCCAGGTCCCTGGTTTGGTCAGTTGTGGGGAGAAGGCAGCAGTTTTCTGATGCCCATTTTATGGGTCAGGCAGGTCCAGGCAGGTGGAGCGGGCGGCTGACCTGCCCAGCCAGGGAGTCGCGGGGAGCAGCCTTCCCTGGGACACAGACACCAGGCAGCATCCCTTCTCCCTTCTCCCTTCCAGGTGGCGCTGCTCAGAGCCCACGCCGGCGAGCACCTGCTGCTCGGAGCCACCAAGCGATCCATGGTGTTCAAGGACGTTCTGCTGCTCGGTGAGGGGGCGGCCCGCCTGTGCACACTCAGGGTTGTCCCCGGGATCTCTCGTGTGTTCCAACGTCAGGAACAGGAGGCGGTCAGAAATGGCACAAACCCCAGCCTGTGTCGCCTATGCCTCCATAGCACGGTTGCCTATTATTTCAGTGCTCATAGAGATTGCGCTGTGGGTCAGATCCTAGTCTGAGCACTTGACAGATATAAACCCCTCTAACACAACATCTCTTATGGGGTAGACTCTGTTATTTACCCCCATTTTACAGATGACAAAAAACAAACAAGGCCTAGAAAGTAATTTATCCAGATATGTCCGGCTTGTTAGTGGCCGAATTGGGCTTCGACCCAAGCAGTCTGGTTCCAGGATGGAGGCCCTTACCCTTGATGCTTTGGCATCTTCCAGGTGGCCCTGAAATGGCATCATTCTTGAGGGTCTTGTTGAAGAATAGAGCTTGCGTGATGTGAAAGGGTCCCAGAAAGCCAGGCTCCAGGCCTGGTCCTTAGCTTTGACCAATCATTCCTTTAATCTGAGCCTCAACTTCCTTGTCTGTAAAATGGGCAGTCCCCAAGGGCGCCAGCTGTACTGCAACGGCAAGGGACAGGGCCTGTGCAAAGCTAGGGGTAAGGGGTACACCCAAGGTGGCTTCCCCATCGCCTCCCCTTTCCAACGACGCAGGGAACGACTACATCATCCCGCGGCACTGCCCGGAGCTGGCGGAGATGAGCCGGGTGTCCATGCGCATCCTCGACGAGCTGGTGCTGCCGTTCCAGGAGCTGCAGATCGATGACAACGAGTACGCCTGCCTCAAAGCCATCATCTTCTTCGACCCAGGTACGGTCCGCACCTCCCACCCCCACCCCCAGCGCTCCAGACCTCCTGCCGGACCTGCACCCTGAGGTCCCAACCCCACCTCTTTAGCACAGCAACCCGGAGAAGGCATGTGTATTAGCCCCACGTCACAGATGAGGGGAATTAGAGGTCAGACGGATGGTGTGACTTGACTGACTCCCGTCCGCCCTCCCTCCTTCTCTCCCTTTGCCACCTACCGTCCTTCTGTTCTTTCCTGTGATCTTTCCTCCTTTTCCTTAGAACATTTTTTTAAATGTTAAATTACCATAGTTTTTTAAAAGATTTTATTTATTTATTTTTAGAGAGGGAAGGGAGAGAGAGAGAGAGAGGGAGAGAAAAACATCAATGTGCGGTTGCTGGGGGCCATGGCCTGCAACCCAGGCATGTGCCCTGACTGGGAATCGAACCTGCGATGCCTGGTTCGCAGCCTGCGCTCAATTCACTGAGCTACGCCAGCCAGGGCTCCTTAGAACATTTTTATCCCAAGAATATCTGCATATGCTTACAATGCAGACAGTCCTCCCCACCCCGCTTTCCCCGCTGAAGCCTGCTCCCTGGAAAGAACCACTTCTGATGCTTCTCACTGTTCCTTCTGGCCATGCCCTCGAGCTCTGAATAAACGCTAAGCCTGCTGTTGCTTGATTTATCTTTTCTAGATCGAATTCTTGCTCCTAGGCTAGTGGAGGGTTTCACTCTCCTCTGTCACCATTCCCATCTTTTCTTTTCTCCCCCATCCTCGTAATATATTTCATGGCTATTTTAGTGTCTCCATCGATCACCTTTATCACGTTTGTTGTGTGCTTACGCCTCCATTTCTTATTGTATCAACAGTGCAGAGGATTTTCTAAGCCTTTACTTGGGAGGGCGAAAATACAGTAGTCCCTCTTCTTCTCCATTTTGCCTTGGGTGGTTTCAGTTAACTGTGGTCAACCATGGTCTGAAAACGTTAAATAGAATCTTCCAGAAATGAACCATTTGTACATTTACAGTTGCACGGTGTTTCTGAGTAGCGTGATGAAACCTCACACCCTCCTGTTCCACCCGCCTGGGACGTGTGTCACCCCCACTTGCCCCAGCGTGATCACTCCGCCCACGCTGCCTGCCTGGTAGCCACGGGGTAGCCGCCTCGGCCGTTGGAGGGACCGCGGCCATGTCGCAGTCCTCGCGTCCAGGCAACCCCATTTCACTTGATCCTGGCCCCCAAGTGCCAGGGTAGTGATGCGGGCAGTTCGGACATTCGAAAGAGAAGCTAGGAAGTGCTTTCTTGAAGTGGAAAAGGGCATACAGTCCAGTAAGACATTCTGAGAGAGGAAGAGAAAGACCACGCTCACGTAACTTGTATCACAACGTATTGTTCGAATTGTTCGATTTTATTATCAGTCATTGGCGTTAATCTCTTACTGCGCCTAATTCATGATTAAACGTCCTGATAGGTTTGTGTGACAGGAAAACCTGTGGTGTGTAGCTCGTTTCATAAAGGGCTCAGTCCTGTTCGTGGTGTCTGGCGTGCGCTGGGGGCCTGGGGCGGTACCTCCGCTGTCTGCCCTATCGAGTCCCCGCCCTTTCCCCTCGGCTCTCTCCTCCCCTCTCTCCAACCCATCCACTGACTCGCCATCTGCATTTGTAGTGGTGTCTGTGGGCAGAGCCTGGTTTTAAAGAACAATGTCAAGGTTCCTGGGCCCCCAAAGGCTTGTTTGCTTCCTCCCCTCCTTACCTGTTAGAGAGGACCTACTAGGTGCCAGGCGCCTGCATGAGGATCACCTCTAGTAACAACAGTAATGAAGAGGAAGATGATCACCCTTTATGGAATGCTTTTTAAGGCACCATTCTAAACATTCTATGTGGATTATCTCACTTATTACTTGCAACATGGTACCTGTGAGGCAGGGATTGTTATCCCCATTTTGCAGATTAGAAAACTGAGGCACAGGGAGATTGATTTCTTTGCCCAAAGTCACACAACCAGGACATGGCAGAGCTCGGATTTGAACTTCAGACTACCCAGCTCTCAGGCCTATGTTCGTACTTACCACATGTTATTCCCCGTTTCTTAAAGGGTAAGATCTCTAGATCTAGTTTCCTTGAGAGCTGTATCCCCTCCAGTGCTTAGCACTGGGCTAGATCGAGTAATTAATCGCTCAGCAAAATGTGCAGGATTACTGATGCTGAGTCAGGGTCGGCCACCTGGCTTGGAGGGGCAGGCGACCTAGAATGGGGCCTGGCATGAAGGTGGCGGTCAGTAAAAGTTTATTGACTGAATAAAAGAATGCATAAACGTGATTCAGTGGAGAGAGCCCTGGACTAGAAAAGTGAGGGTGACGTCCTCTTTTTGCCACATCCTTTAGGAAATAAGCGCATTACCTCCACGAAGGTTGAGATTACCTAGTAGAGGACTGTGTGAGTTGCCTTCTTGAGACTGAGGATCTAGAATTCACCCATTGATTTTGTTCATTCATTTGTCCTTCCACCCATCTACCTGTCCTTTCGTCTAGTTACCTATTCAACAAGCACTGACTACGCATGGTGCTAGGTGGTGGGTTTAAAATGACACGTGGGACGTAGGCCTGCCTGCGCAGAGCTCACAGCCCAGTGGAAGGGACAGTCACCTCCTGTGCGGCCGGCAGCCACAGAAGTCTGGGAACATGATGGACACTCACAATGCAGACTCGGGGAGGGGGGAGCAGAGAAAGCTTCCTGGTGGGGGTGAGACCTAGGCTGAGACCCCAAGATGACTCAGGCAAGGGAGCAGAGAGGCGGGGGCATGGTTCTGAGGTGGTGGCAGCAGCAGCCTGGGCTGGGGTATGGACAACGGGGCCCCTCCACTGGGACCAGGAGCCCCAAGTCCACTCCTGGATCTGTCAGCAGCCGGATGTGTGACCCGGAACACGTCCTTTCCCTGCTCTGTGCCTCAGTTTCCTCAGCGTAATGAGGGAGTTGCTAAGTGCCCTCTTGGGTATGTTCCTGAAGTCCCGTCCCCCATCCCCGGTTTCCCTCTCCCGGTTCTGCATCTCAGGAAACGTGACAGGAACACTTTTCTGCCTGAGTCCAGGAAGCTCCCAGCCGCACTAGTGAACTCTGGTTCTTGAGGACCCTGAACCCTCATCCCAGCACTGCCGATGGCTTCGGGTCACTAGGCCCCCTCTCGGGGCCCCATGAGTCAGGGGAGGCCTGGGTCCTGACTATCCAGGTGCTCCAGCCGGGCCCCCTGCCATCCCTTGCCACCCGCTCCCGTTGCAGATGCCAAGGGGCTGAGTGACCCGGGTAAGATCAAGCGGCTGCGGTCGCAGGTGCAGGTGAGCCTGGAGGACTACATCAATGACCGCCAGTACGACTCGCGCGGCCGCTTTGGTGAGCTGCTGCTGCTGCTGCCCACCCTGCAGAGCATCACCTGGCAGATGATCGAGCAGATCCAGTTTATCAAGCTGTTCGGCATGGCCAAGATCGACAACCTGCTGCAGGAGATGCTGCTGGGAGGTCCGTGCCGAGCCCCAGAGGGGCTGGGAGGTGGGCGGGGGGGTGGGGGGCAGAGGGGCCTCTCCCAGAGACGAGCCTCGCACAGACCTGCGTGCACCTCCCTTCCTCACGCTGTGGCTGTGGGCAAACCCCTTAAGCTACCTGAGCCTCAGTTTCCTCATCAGGAAAATGGGGACAGTGGTCCATTTATGTAGGCACTGAGAGCCCAGCATGTGCCAGTCACTGTTTTAAGAGCTGGGGATTCAGCAGAGAACAAGATCTCTGTCCTCCTGGTGGTTGTGTGAGTGTGTGCGCGCCTGTGTGTATAAGGCCCGGGGGAAGAGGCAATAATCACGTGTGTAAGAAAGAGGGTAACTGCAGATATTTAAGTAAACAGGTAAAACAACACAGCAGCACTGAAAGGGGCCTGTTTTGACAGGTTAGAGAAGGGAGCCTTCCCTGAAGTAGTTAGTGGCTTAGGCCCGCTGGATGAAAGGAGATAGAACATTTAAAGGCCAAGAGAAAAACCCTCCAGGCAGAAGTAACTGATACACAAGTCCCAGGCAGGAGAGGCGCGTGTGTGTCGGAGAAGGAGAAGGAGAAGGAAGGGGAACGCTGTGAGACAGGGGAGTTGTGTGAGATGAGAATGGAGACCAGGCAGAATCCAAACGAGGAGCATGTGGTTTTATAGGCCGTGGTCAGAAACTGGGGTTTTACTCTCATGCAACTACTAGAAGAAGAGTGAAAATCAGACTAGTGTTGTAAACTAACTGCTCTGATTGTCCGGCAGAAACTGCATTTCGGGGGTGGGGGCGAAGCGGAGGCAGGAGAGCCCTGAGAATGGTGTCTCCGGCCAGGGGAGGGGCGGCGGGGGCTCGGGCGAGAGCAAGACTGGAGCTTCCGCAGCGGAGGAGAAGCTTGATCGTCTCTTTGATCAGGACTTGCTGATTGACCAGATGTGGGGAGGGAGGGGAAGAGGAAGAGTCAAGGGTGAAACCTGTGTTTTTGCTTTGAGTAACGGGAATGCTAGTGGAGCGATTTCCCGGGATGGGGAGACTGAGAAAAACAGTCGGAGGTCGGGTGGGGGGTGAGGGATGAGCCCACAGACCCATCCGAGACTTCAGTGAAGCTTGAGAGGACTCCTAGACATCCAGGCCGAGCCACCGAGGGGGCAGCTGAATGTCCGTCTGTTGCTCACACACAAGCCCGAAGCTCGGGATGAACGGCCGCTCTGTGGTGCTCCCGCAGGTCAGGGCCAGGGACAGGGACGGGAGCAGGAAGACCAGCCCCGGGGGTAGCAGCGAAGCCAGGGCAGTTCCAAGAGAAGAGGGTGTTTTAGGGAGGACAGGACATTCCACGGTGTTAAATCCCGCAGCGGAGGGATGGAGGTGTTCACTGGATCGGCACCCGGGAGGCCCTGGGCGCCTGTGGAAAGAGCGTCAGAGGACCGTGGGGAAGGGGGCCAGAGCGAGAGGTGTCCCCGCGTGCGTGAGTGGGAAGGTGAGGTGGACACAGCAAGAGGAGACTCACCCTTTGAAATGTTTCACTCCGAGGTGGGGGGCCGTGAGGGAGCTGACGGTGACCGCGAGGGAGTGATTATAAGGATGGGCGATGGAACCTTGGCCGGACTAACAGAGATACAGATGGGGTGACAGACAGTGAAAAGTGGGGGTCGGGTCGGGGGCCTCGACAGGGCTGAAGAATTTTTGCAGTGGTGGTGCTGGAGGAAGTGAGCTGGAAGGCGAGGAGGCAGCGTCCCAGTGAGGCAGCTCGGGCTCATTGTGAGGCTCCCGGGCGGGGCCGTGGCTGTTCCCGGCAGGTGGGTTACAGGTGAATTGCCCACCAGGGGCGTTCCCAGGGAGGAGGAGTTCGCTTCCGGTTAGAACGGCCAGAACCAGGAGAGGCTTCGCAGTGGAGGAGACATCTGAGCTGGAACTGTGCGCATGGAGGGGCGCAGGGGTGGCGGTGAGACTGACAGGGGAACCGGGACCAAATGCTCGAAGGACTTCAGACCGTGAACTTTGAGAACCATCGATTAACTCCATTATACTAACATCCAATCAGAACTCGATGTAATACTTAAGTTCTCTCAATGCTTCCTTACATCCTCCTTGTTTCTTTTATTATTTTTTTATTTTTTTAAAGATTTTATTTATTTATTTTAGAGAGGGAAGGGAGGGAGATAGAGAGAGAGAGAAACATCAATGTGCGCTTGCTGGGGGTCATGATCTGCAACCCAGGCATGTGCCCTGACTGGGAATCAAACTGCGACACTTTGGTTCGCAGCCCGAGCTCAATCCACTGAGCCACACCAGCCAGGTCCTTGTTCCTTTTAAATCACTTCTGTTCTCTTGGCTTGTTGGGTCCTCCCAGTATCCTCACAAAGTGTGCAGATGGGAACAGCGCGCCCAGGTCCCTGACCCAGGAACAGGCACCCAGTAGGCATCTTCAGTAAGGGGTGAGCGGGTCGACCGGCCCCCCCCTCCGAGGAAGATGGTGGCCCCAGGCCCACGGTCCTTTCCCCAAAGTCTCCATCTTCACTGAGCTCCCCCTCCCCCCGCAGGATCCTCCAGCGATGCCACTCATGCCCATCACCCCCTGCACCCTCACCTGATGCAGGAGCACATGGGCACCAACGTCATCGTCGCCAACACCATGCCCGCTCACCTCGGCAACGGGCAGATGTGTGAGTGGCCCCGACCCAGGGGGCAGGCAGGTGGGCAACTCAGGCTCTGCTCAGGAAGGGGTGAGGTTGGGGCGTAAGGGGGGAGCCGAGAGGAGGTCGGGGCTAGAAGATGAGAACCAGGATGCAGCGGTTCTGGGTGCTGCGGGGTGCAGGCGAGGGGTGAGACTGTCCGCTCATGAAGGCTTTGCCCAGGGAGGTGACTGTCAGCCTTTACTGAAGGAAGCTGCCCTTGGGATGAGGCGGCCCACCGGGGCAGGTGGCCCACCGGGGGAGGATGCCCATTAGGGTGCAAATGCCATCATTTTCCCTAGGTAAACCTGTTTGTTTAATAAGGCTCCTCGAGTGGGTGAGGCTCTCCACTAGACCGTGGGGTGAGACTGTTTATTAGGCTGGGGTGTCCGCTGGACTAGACTCTCCTCCGAGGTGAAGTCCCGCAGCAGTGAGTTCGTCCCTGGCAAAGCTCTTCAAAGAGTAGGACTAGCACTGGGAAGAGGCAGCCCACTAAAAGGAGATGCCATTTCATTGAGGTTGTTCTTTGGGAAAGTGGTCCATTGCATAAAATCAGCCAAGTGGGTCATGGTCAGAGTTACTTTCTGAACCCATTATGCGGGTGAGGCCAATTAGTTTCTGTTACTCATCTACTTAGATATCAGAGGAATCGTCCTTTTAAAGCCAGTTAGTCCGACCTTGCGTTGCATCAGCCGTTTTGCTCCTTCTCTCCGAGAATGGGTCTTCCTGTCACAGGTCCAAGCGTCCTCGGGGAGAGCCAGACCTGGGCCCTGGTTTGGGAGGAGGAGCCCACACCCCCTCCGCATCAAATGGGTGGGGGGTAGGACCCGGGTAAAGGCTGTGCCACAAACCTGGGCCGGCCACTGCCTCCCAGACCTCACGGGGCTTAAGGCTGTGATGTGGGGCTCAGAGAGTTTGAGCCCTCAAAGGCCTTAGAGAGTGTCTAGCTCTGTTCTCTCACTTTACAGAAGAGGAAGAACTGTTTCTTCTTCCTCTTCGCCTAGAGAGGGGGAAGAGCTTGCCTAGGGTGCTTCCTTCACTCCCTGAAGGGCAGGGATGCTGAGCAGCCATCCGTCTCTCTGTCCCTCCAGCCACCCCTGAGACGCCGCAGCCCTCACCGCCAGGTGGCTCGGGGTCTGAGCCCTACAAGCTCCTGCCAGGAGCCGTCGCCACCATCGTCAAGCCCCCCTCCGCCATCCCGCAGCTGACCATCACCAAGCAAGAAGTCATCTAGCAAGCCGCCGGGGGTCGGGGGCTCTGCTGGCCCCCCAGCCCCCTCAGAGAGCCCCTGGTGGTCCCTCCACCACAGTGAAGGGAGCTGTGACCCGAACAGGGCCAGCCCCAGAGCAGGAATGAAAAGGGCGAAGGGCCCAAGAACTTGGGCCGTGGACCGCATCCCATTGCCACCCTCCACCCCTGCTCTAGACGCGGGGCTCCGACCTGGGGACACCCCAGCTGGACACCCTCGGCTGCCTGGGACAACTTCGCTGAAGCCACTGCCTTCCGCTCATCCGCTCCTGCCCCACCCACTTCGCCAGCAGAGGACCTCACTGCAGCCTGGCCCCTCCCCCTCAGGCCGGCCCTCCCCTCCCAGCGCTGCGCAGTGTCCACACCCGGGAGCCCCCACGGTGGGGTCGGCTGGGTCGCATCAAGACCCCTTACTTACTCCTCCCTGCTCGGCTGCCCCACCCTCCAGTGCTCCTCTCCGTCTGCCGCAGCCACCGCAGCCTGTCAGCGTCCCCAGAGCCACCTCTCCAGAGCCCGAGGAAGACTTGCGAACGACTCTCCCAGTCACTTGGGAGCGTTTCCGGAGCCCTGCCGGGCTAAGCGCAGTGTAGCAGATCGTGGAGAAGGAAGGCGCTTTCTGCCTCTGACCCACCGGTCTTCCTTTCCTCCGGGCCTTGGGTCGGACCCCTGGGGGGACCCCTTGGCTGGGAGTGATGATCCCTACGGACTTTCAACAATGAAAGAACAATTCGGGGTGGACAACCGCAACAGGAGCTGGCCGGGAAGGCCGGGCTGGTCAGAGAGAGCGCCCACAAAAGGGCAGACTGCGCACTCGGCCCCTAAGGCAGGGTCGGATTCTGGCTTGTGCAGCCAGGGAGACAGGATGTTCCAAGGGAGGTCAGAGCGCCTGGGCGAGGCCTGGAGGCCAGAAGAAGGGCCGTCTGGAGCGGAGGGGGCATGCCGGGCTGCACGGGGGCCTCGAGCGCCAGACTGAGAGGCATTGGTGCTTGGGCTCCTAGGCCCTGGGTACTTGGGAAGGGAGTGCAGCCAGCTGAGCTTCCAGACGCTGCAGACAGCAGTTCTGCGGAGGTGGGAAGGAGCAAGGAGATCGGGCGATGCCGTGTCCCCAGTGAGAGAGGCGAGGCTCAGGGGTGGAGAAGGACGGGTGAGTGCCCAGGTCAGAGTGACGTTGGCTTGGGGGGCAGTGGAATTACATGCCAGGGCCCGTCTCAAGCTCTTTCATACTCGCGGGACTATCTCAGGGCACTTTCCATGCATCAGCTCCTTTCCCGGTCCCCACCACCCAGAGATCCGTATAGACGATGACACTGGGACCTAAGAGGCTGTGAGTTTCTGGAACTCACGGAGCTGGTAAGGGGCCAAGTCAGGGCTGGGTCCCAGGTCCACCTGGACCAGAACAGGAGCTTTTAACCAGGGTGGCAGAACCTCTTCCCTGCAAGGACCCTTCAGTCCTCACTGGGCTAGAGCTGAGGGACTTCCTGCCCCCTCCCCCAGCCTTAGGAGCCGAAATATCATGCTTTGCGGGAGCCCTGCCCACGCCCAGAACTAAGATTCGCATGAGGATGCACTCAGGTCCATTTAGGGTCCAGAATCCTGTCTGCTGATAAACAAGAAGAATTCATAGCTCTTGGGCCCTTTTCCCTCTTCACTCCTGGCTCTGGGGGGCAGTCACTCAGGGTAGATCCGGTTCCTGACGGTCCAGGAGTGGGCCAGTTTGCGGGGGCAGGGGACAGGTCTGAGCCTGCGACTTGCTCTGGGGCGCGTCACTCAGGGTACATCTGGTGGGAATTAAAGCTGGGACCAGAGCTGTGCTTAAGTAGGGGGGGTGAACAGTCAGACTGGTTACCGACACCCCAGCCAGGGATGACCCTTCTGAGCAGACGGGGGCAGTACCCCCACGCCCCCACATTCCATCATTAGTGATTGTTGCCTTTGGCAAAAAGAGGCGTGGAGGGTACTGAGACCGTGTGTCCGAGAGAAACCTCTACATCTCCAGTGCTGGCAGGGTGGGCCGTCCCCACTCCGGCGAGCCAAGTCCCCACCCCCGGAGCAAGTCCTCCCTGCTCAGAGCTCTCGGGCCTTCCTCTGCCACGTCTCGTTTGGGTCCCCCAGACACCCCAGCGGGGGGCTCAGACTGGCCTGGGGCACAGTCGGGAAGCCAGAGTCCTTCTGGTCGTCGAGGTCATTCCCACTGCTGGCTCTCCTGCCCTCACTGTCACAGTGGCCATGCTGAGACAACGATTTCCTGCAAGGCGGAGTGGCGTGATAGTGGCTTTTCGTGGTATCAGTTTTCTGGGGCAGGGGTCAGTCCTCTGCCCAAATAACCAACCCTTCTTGGAGGAGAACTCCGTCCCACTTCAATGCTTGGATTGCAGTGCAGGAAACAAAACAAAGGCACGTTTGCTCCTCTGATTCTCCACTGAGACACCACATTGGGAATTTTTTTTTTTGTCTACCTGAGTTGTAGCCCTAAAACAAAATGGATAGACTAGAGAATGGCTGCGAGGGCAGGCGCGGACCTGCTGTCCCTCCACGGAGACAGCCCCCTCTTGAGGCAGCTCCCGGAAGCTTCCCGAGTCTACACCGCTCTCCTGAAAACAAATGGACAAGGAGCAGGAGAAAAGGGTTGTCAGCGGCTGCTCCCACATTTCTCCTGCTGCCCCGCCGGCCACTCCTGCCAGCCTGCTCTGTGATTGGCCCTGCGTGGGAAGAAGTGTGGAATTCGCATCAGGTGGTTCTGGAGGTTCTGGAGGTTCTGGAGGTTCTGGGAGTGGGATGGGTTCGCTCAGATCCACCCGCCTCTCGCAGTTGCCGTGAATGTCACTTGGTCCCCGGCTGACATCTGAGCCCCTGTCCCTGCCACCCCATGGGGCAAAGAAACAATCAAACAAACAAACGTTTCTTGTGTGTTTTAACAAAAGTTTATAAAGCGAAATAAATGGCGCATATGTTTTCTAAGTCCTTGGATGGGTGTCTTTCCTTCCTTTCCGGTGTTAGACATGAGAATGAAAATAGCCAGATAGGTGCTCTGCTCTCTCCTCCGATCGTAGGGATCTGTCCCCTTCCGTGAAAGTGGCCGGGCAGCGCCTACAGCACGCAAGGAGTGCGCCCACATCCAATATTGTCACTTAATCTCCGCATCAGGAGGAACGCAGGTGAGACATTATTATGCCACCCCCCCCCCACTTTATGGGTGGGGAAACTGAGGCTCAGGGGAAGTGATTTTCCTAGACAGCCAGAGATAGGACCCTAACTCTGGTCTCTTGATTTTTGAGTACTTGGTATGTGGCAGATAGTGAGAGTGAGAAGAGAGCGGATGATGGAAAGATCTGGAAGAATGGCGAGAGGGTCCAGTGGTCTGTGGTCTACCCTCAGGGTCCAAGATGGAGCCCTATTCTGGGTCCTGGGTCAACCTGCCAGGAACAAGGGGCAAGTGGGTATGTGGAAATCTCATCAAAGCAGGTGTTGCTTTGAAAAAGAATAAAAGCAAGGGGTACACATGAGGATTTCCAGCCAGGTTCGTAGCCACCTTGGTCTTGTCCCCTGATACACTAGCCACCGGGGACACAGCCGCACAGTCACTCGGGGGTTTGTGGAGCTGGTGAGTGAGGGTCGGTTGTTAACTGCTCCTCCCGTTGGGCAGTGTCTCACTGACAGCGGCGGTGGGGACACTCACACCACCGGAGCCGGCACAGTCTACCAGTCAAGGCCTTCTGCAGCAGAAAGCACTGTTGAACGTTGGCCAGCACACCCCGGCATTCAGAGCTGGGTGGATGGGGGCGTGCTGGAGGCTGGACTGGGGGGTACCTAGGTGAGGTGTCACTCAAGCATGAGGGTGGAGCATAGTGGCCCCTTCAGTTCTTCCTCAACAGAGGGGACAGCAGGTCCAGCCCAGCGATTAGTGTAACCTTGGTCTGGTCACTCCACCGCCCTGAGCTATATCTGCAAAATGCAAGTGATCCCTCCCTGCGGGAGTGTTGTCAGGATTAAGCAGCATGAGACGATAGTGACCTTAAGAGCTGCTGTGTACAAGAGGTGCCCAAAGTGGCCGTCACGTGGACTGGGTAAGCGTGAGCTCTTTGCCTGACCCTTTCTCGTGAGAGGCTAACCATTAAGCTCTCCAGCCTCTGGAACACCCATTAGCTGCCTCCCTTATCCTGGGGGCCACTCCCGCCTCCCCTGCCCCTCCCTCCCCTCACCAGTACCAGGAAATGTTTTCCGCAATGTTGCAACAGAAGCCTCATCCATGCTGGTGCCAGCATAGACGTGGCGGTGGGGTGGGGGGGGAGGCAGGGGCGAGGAGGAGACTGTTGCAGTCCTAGAGCGTGTTTAATAAGTCCATATCAAAACCATAAACCCTGGGCTGCCATAAATTCCTCAGGCCTTGGTTCCTCCACCTCATCAACCCTTTGCCCCAGTTAATCTCAAATCTCAGCATGGGCGGCCAGACCTTGGTTTCCATTTCAGTGGCAAAACATCAGCTTGGGAGAAAAACAGTAAATCCCATTATATTTAGAGGAGATGAACTCAAAGTTCGCAGAAGTGAAGGAACTTCACGTAGCCAGAGAGCACAGCTAGTTGAGCCAGGGCCGGAACCTGTGCGTCTTCTACCAACTCATATGGCCTCGCTGAGAACTGGGAATGTGACCCGACCCCCCGACCCCCGACACGGACTGCTTCCCCAGCCCTGACCCCAGAAGCTCCTTATCCCGTTATTCTGAATGGATCCCCATTACGCCAAGAGCGGGGATGAGAGGTGAAAGGGACTCTGGGTACGTGACAGGCTGCGTGTGGAGCCACAGGAAACTCCGTGCAGTGCGAATGACCTGTCATCCCAAACTGGTGGCGTTGCCATACTTCCTCTTTTATGGAACCCACATCACCTTTGCTCTGCCTTTCTGGAATCAGTGTGTCATATGTAAATTCCAAGACTCGAGCTAAGAGGCCTGAATCACGGGATCCCACGCAGCTGTTTGATGATGACGGAGTGAAAAGCCAAAGGCCGACTCCGGGGACAACGTAGATTGACCTCTTCCTCGTTGTCAAGCACTGTCGGGCGTGATTTAATCCCCACAACGATCCCCTGAGTCAGCTATTCTTGTTGTTACATTCTACGAACGAGGAAACCAAGGCTCAGGAGGAGGAAGGGACTTGACCAAGGTCCACAGCTGGTGTGACAGCTGCAACCCAAACACCTGTGCTCTGGCCCGAGGGGCCGCCGTGATGGAATTGAGGAGGGCGTCGATGAGCAGCCCCTGCGTGCCGGGCACAGACGCATTGTGGCCTGTGGGTAGTTCGTCATTTGACGAATGGCAATGGTCAAACAGCTGCATCTTTTTTTATTTTAATTCTTTAGTTCTCACCCAAGGGCACCCAAGGGCGTAGAGGGGAAGGGAGGGAGAGAAACATCGACAGAACGTGCAGCCCAGGCATGTGCCCCGACTGGGAATCAAACCTGCGGGCGGACCTTTCGGGCGGCGGGACGTCGCTCCAGCCAAGGGAGCCACACCGGCCAGGGCGCAAGCTGCTGAATCCTAAGAGCCAAAGGAATGAGTGACAGCTGTGAAGACGATGGTTTGAGGAAGGGAGCGATTACGGCGGTCCGGAAGGACGAGTGGTGTGCGCGTGCAGGACACGGCTCAGGCGCAGCAGGACGGCGGAGAAGGACAGAGCTGGAGGCTGAGGGAGGGGATGCGCAGCAGGCTGGGTGGGCAGCGGGCAGCACCGCCCGTGGGTGGCTGGGGGGCCAGAGGCCAGCAGTTTCCAACCTTCGGTCACCGCACACGCCACCTTGATCCTCTCCACACCCGAGGACCCCTGTCCTTTCTGCTGCTTACTATTTTTCTTTAAATCAGTTCATAATTATTCTCTTTGCCCTGATCCCTGATGTAGATGGGAAACCAGTATCACTTGCTGTAAAGAGGAGGCAACTGAAAAACTAACATGAAAAGAAAACAATATTCTCCAGCCCAGGCAGGCTTGCCAGGGAGATCTCTGCTCTTTCTTCTTTAGGCGGGGAATTGACAAGTACGTAGAGAGATGTTATAGGCACATCTCTATCCATATGCTATCCAAAGAAGACTTTCTCCTTAATATTTTCAGAAGGGAGTTAAGACCTATAAAGAGAAAGTCTTCGGGGACAATGTCATTTAATGTCATCCCCAGGCATCCCAAAAATCACTCCGCATGCCACTGAAGTCCTCCTCCCACACCCAGAAGCACACCACGGTGGCTGGTCTCGGCCAGGGGGTGCGGGCCTTGAACACTGGGCAACTGGGAATAGGAAACCACTGGGCATTTGAGGTTGGGGGAAGGCTGTGGCCAGATCTGTGTTTTTCAAAGGTCATTCTGGCAGCTTTGTGGAAGATGGATTGAAGGGGGTGCAACTGTGCAGGGGTTTAGCAGATGTTATGAAGGTTCTGAATGGGCTGATTTTGTGAGAGGGAGATCACCCTTGGTGGGCCAGCCCTAATCAGGCGCGCCCTTATAGGTGGCTGGGCTCTTCCTGTCTGGCAATTGAAATTAGAAGCATGAGCGGGATTTGATGCGAGGGAGTTCCTGTGGCTGGCTCTGGAGATGTAGAGAGCCATGTGGCAAGGGAAGCAGGCGGTCTCGAGAAGCTGAGAGCGATTCCGCTGACAGCCCACTAGGAAATGGTGACCTCAGTCCTGCAACCGTGAGGAACTGAATTCAGGCAACAACACCTTGAATGAGCTTGGAAGTGGATCCTTCCCCAGAGCTTTCAGGGAGGAAGAAAGCCCAGCTGATACCTTGAATTCAGCTGTGTAAGACCCGGGGCGGAGACCCCCATGCCGCCAGGCCTGCCTGACCACACATAGTGAGATGACAAATGGGTGTTGTTTTAAGCCACTGAACTTGGGGCAATCTGTTATGCAACATTGAAAATTAATACAGGCAGTGGTGAAGAGGGGTGGTCAGACTGGGGTGTTTTAGCAGCGGCCCTGTCAAGGACTTGCTAGTGGACAGGACATGTGAAGAAAAACCAGTGACCACGGGGCTGGTGGCACTCATGCCTGAAATGAGGGACACTGTAGCAACTGTGGGCTCGGGCTAGAAAGCACAGTTCCCTTGGGGTGTTTTGTCTGACCTGCTAATTAAACATCCAGGGACTCGTGGGAGGTAGGAGCCTGCAGCTCCGGGAAGAGGTGGGCAGGAGGGAGAACGGTGAGGCCGTAAAGAAGCGCAAACGGGACTGAAGAGCCGGACAGCAGCACTGCTCGGCGAGATACGGGGGCACACTGCTGACACGAGCACCGGACCTCAGACGTGCCCTTCTGGGCACAGGAACCCCAGCCCGGAGGCTACCTACAATGTGGTTCCATCTACACAACGTGCTGGAAGGGAACAGCTCCAGGGGGAGATGCTGTGGTTGCCAGGCGCTCGGGACACAGTGGGGAGGGGACTCGGGGGTGATGGACGTACTCTGTATCTTGATTGCGGTCACCACATTTTTTCAGACTATAAGACGCACTCCCCCCAAATTTGGGAGGAAAGGGGGGGGGTGTGTCTTATCCTCCGAATGTAGCTTTACATTTCCATTGGTGAAATATTATGTTTTTTATGTTATTAAATATTTTACCACATTTTTTTGCTTCAAAAAAATTTTTTTTCCTATTTTCCTTCCCTAAAACCTAGGTGCGCCTTATGGTCTGAAAAATTACGGTGTACCTTAATAAAAAATACGAAAGAAAAACAAGCCAAAATAGTTGTGTGAGATCCCTTAGAGAGGGACTGTAGCCAGAGAGACATGTATGGGAGGACTTCACTCTGGGCCACGCCACTGCTCAGGTGGAGAAAGAAAGATGTGGTGGTTGCCGTCCTACTATGTGCTGGGTGTGCCAGCACACTGGTCGTGCCTGGCCACCTCAGTGAGGCTGTGAGGCAGGTTAAGGGGATTGTCCTTGTCTTACAGATGAGAGGAAGCGAGTTGCCCTGGGTCCACACAGACCGTAATAGTGACAAAGGGAGGAGATCCACACTGGCATGCCCTGCACTCTATTCCCTGTTTGTTGAATGAATAAACGAGCGAACGAACACATGAATGAACGAACCGATAAATATCACCATGCTCCAGGTGCTGAGGTTTCACCAACAGGTTCAAACTGAGGATATGAGAATTTGGTGTTTTTAGAGAAGCTGAGGCCATAAAACTTGTTCCATTTCCCTCCTTGTGCAACACCCAGCCCCTCCCGCCGTGGCTCTGAAATTGCTCCCCGGCCTTGGGAAGGGCTCCTCAGGCTTATCTCAGGGGAGAGTGAAACTGTAAAAGCCTTTATGGCTTTGAGATCATGTCTGGCAGGGGCAGTGATTGTCGCCATAAACCTGCGTGGGCCCTGCGAGGGCGCTGCCCGGGGCCGCCAGAGCGGGGGCGGTTGAGCAATGCCAAGGGGCCGCCACTGCGGAGCCAGGCGCGCTGGGGCCCGCGGTCAGGGCCTGGCACAGGTTTATCTCGTCCTCGCACGAATCCCCGGAGGCAGCAATGATCGCGATATTCTGAAATCCTACGGCGCACTCTTTTTCACGATAAGATATCGCTGAAGTTGAGTCAATGACATGCCATCGTCGCTGTTGGTTAGAATGGGTGGCGGTCACGACCCGGTTGGTTCTGGTCATTATTTCCGGTGGCCTCGCTGGACAACTGCGTCCTCTGTGTATTTCATCACCGAGGACTTAAGGGTCATTGGAGGAAGGGACGGGAGCACTGGGGTCTTCCTGAAAACCTTCCGCTGACACCTTCCGAAGAGAGGAAGCAAGCGCCAGGGTCAAGCCTGCAGGGCAGGCGGGAGAGAATCTCGGAGGCCTCAGCGGAGCAAAGCTTTTCACGGCGTGGAGGACGGTACTGGGCAAAACCGACGGGACCAGGAAGACTCCGGGTGGAAAAAGTGGTCCAGATCAGCACAACGCTGCCCCGAGGGACTTCCAGCAGTTCCCGAACTAATTTGTTTCACCTTTGTATTTAGGTGCAAGGGTGATGTGGGATTTTAAAAACAACATCTCAGGGCTCTTTAATAAATACAAAATAAAAATTCTAAGTGCTAAGAAAGCAATTACATCATAATTAAATTGTCAGTGTCTTTTCTTCCTAAGTGGGACACAAAATGCTAGTGCCTCGCCCTGGCTGGTGTAGCTCAGTGGATTGAGCACAGACTGCGAACCAAAGGGTCACTGGTTCAATTCCCAGTCAAGGCACATGCCTGGGTTGTAGGCCAGGTTCCCAATGGGGAGTGTGAGAGAGGCAAACACACATTGAAGTTTCTCTACCTCTCTTTCTCCTCCCTTTCCCTCTCTCTAAAAATAAATAAATCCAATCTTTAAAAAACAAAAAGCAAAACAAAATGCTAGTGCCTGTTACAAGGGAGCACTTAGTGAGATTCTACCCATTTCATAGATGGGAAACCTGGGGACGCAGAGGGTGCGGGGCAGCTAAGTGGTGCTCTCTGACAACAGATCCTGTGTTCTTTCTGACCCCCAAGGCTGACTTGGATGTGGCCACACACCCTGTCACCTCCCTCAAAGGTCTTGGCCACACAACTCCTTGGGAGGCAGCAGGCTGCCCTGAAGGGGGTTTGCAAGCTGCCTCCTGCCCAGCCGTCCATCCTTGCCATCACCCAGGTCGGCCACCCCAGCCTGGCCAAGCCCACCCCAACTCCAGCTGCCGCGTGTCCTTCGTGCTGTCGCTGGAACTCTGGTGTCTGTGTCCAGTGCGACCCCACCTCTGATCACCTGGTCCTGGACCAGCAGACTGGATTCTCACCTCGTTTTACAGAGGAGGGACTGGGGCCTAGAGAGGTGGCCTGACTCTCTCAAGGTCACGGGTGAGTCAGTGTTTGGGAGGAGTCTGGGATCCGGGGCTCAAATCCAATGTTCCTCCCAACCTCACAGATCTCCTGCATCTGGAAGCAGCAAGCTGGGGAGGGGGAGCCAGCGACCCAAAGTGGGTCGAGAGACAGGACATTCTGGCAAGAGGGACTGCCGGTCCCGAACACAGAGTCACGTGATAATGCCAAGGTCTCTACCTGGGTGTCACGAGACCAGCAAGTTCTGGGATGGCAGTGCTTGGAGGGCGGCAGAGGTACGGTCCTGCCCAGAGGGTGGAGCCAAACACCACCAGCCATCCTCTCCATTCTCTAAAAACCCTCCCACAGCTTCCCGGCACTCCCAGCGCTAACTTCACGCGTCTCACCAGGGCCCCACCCCCAGCTCCACAGAAGGTGCCTCCTGACCCCTCCTCGGGGGTCATGGCCTCCACTCCGCCTCCGGGCCACTGCATTCCGGCTCCCTGGGCCCCCTCCCTGTTCCTCAGTGCCAAAGCTATTCTTATTTCACAGCCTTTACCCTGATTTCCCTTCTTCTGGAACATTCTTTCCCTAGTGTTTCTCATGGCCACTTCCTTCTAACCATTCAGATCTCGGCTCAAAGATTGCCTCTTGGAGGGCCCTCCCCTGACCAACTGAGCTAAGTATACGAGGCTTTGTACGGCTGTATGATCTTTGTTGTGGCTACCGAAGTCTGCCGTTTTAGCGTGAAAGCAGCCACACACAACATGTAATGAGTGGGCGTGGCTGAGTTCCAATAAAACTTTATTTACAAAAGCAGGCACAACAGGTCGGGCTTGGCCAACGACTGCAGTTTGCTGACCCCGGCTCCCGGGATTCGTCTTGTTTGATTTTCTTCCCTCTGTTTACGGCTCTCTGAAACTATCCAAGTGTCTGTACATCAGTGCATTGTTTTCCTCTGCGGCCCCACCCCCACCCCAAGACCGTCACCTCTAAGAGCGGGGACGTTGCCAGTCTTGCCCAACATTGTGGCAGTGACCAGCTTCCCGGTACTGACACTAGCATATGGCTTTCTCCCGAACGGCGCAGGGCTGCCCTGTGTAAGCACCTGGCTGCCGTGGAAATGGAGGGGTGTGACTGTCCAGGCTAGGTTACAAAAAGCACTGTGGGTTCCGCCTTGCCATCTTGCGTCACTTGCTTGGAGGAAGCCCGCGGCCTTGTGGTTAGGGCCACAGGGGAGCGGCCGGGGCCTCCCGCCCGCCGCCCGCTGCGGGAAGGAGCCGTCTTGGAAGTGGGTCCTGCCACGCCTCCAGGGGACCGCGGCCCTGGCCAACTGTGACTTTGTGAGAGGTCCACCTAACTAAACCACTCCTGAAATCCTCCCACACAGAAACTGTGGGATAATAAACGTTTGTTGGTTTAAATCGGGATAATTCGTTAGGCCGCCATAGATAAAATACAGTCGGCCAGAATAGTGTCTAGTACATAGGAGATAATGATTAACACTAAGGTGCTCGATGCACATTATAGAAGGACACATTATATTTGAAAGGCAATGTAACATTGTATAAATATTTGTGGAAATGGAAGCTAAAGAACATAGAAAGGCATGGTGGAGTCTCACCTAATTCACCAACAGGACAAGATGCCTGTACACAAATTCTTCCAACATTGAAATCCTAAGCTTCTGGGATGCTCTGTGTCTGCATTTCTAGTACTTTCGAAGTTTGTAATTATGTGACCCCGAGATTTGAGGTTTCTGTGTCACCAAGTCCACGATTCTAAAATGTTGTGGTTCTGTGATTCTAGTGTCCTACGGTTCACCAATCACACATGTTGGCTCAGCAGCACCTCTCTGCCCGGCACAATCAGGTGCGAGGCATTCAGCAGAGAAAAGACAGCCCAGGTTTCCGCTCTCCTGTGGCTGCTGGGGACACAGGCCAGCACCGGGGCATGTGGGACCCGCAGGGAGCTCTGTCATTCTTGTGGACCCAGGATCCGGGAGCGCGAGCAGAGGGAGTGGGAGGGCAGTGAGCAGAAGCGGCTTCCTAGCCGAGAGAGGAAGAGAGAGTATTCCAACCAGAGAAGGAGGCACTGCTGTACACTGTGTTCCAAGTGGCAGGAACAGCAAGTGCAAAGGTCCGGGGGTCAGGGAGGGGGAGAGCGTGCATGGCATACATACCTGGTGAACTAAAACAAGGTCGGTGTGAGTTGTTGTAAAGTTGAGGGGTGGGGGTGCCAGAGAAAGGCAGAGTGGCAGGAGACTGTGGCCAGATGACAGCAGACCTCATAAACCAGGTCAAGGGGTTTGAACTTTATCCTGAGGGCAAAGGGGAGCCAGTGAAGGGTTTTAAGGGGAAGAGTGGCACGCTGCGCTTAAAGTTTAAAAAGATGCCTCTGGCTGCTGCGTGCAGGTTTGGAAGGAGGAGAGACCAAGGAGGAGGCTGGAACAAGACCCCAGGTGAGAGCAGAAGAGGCCTGAATGGAGGGAGACGGGCCCGAGAGAGACGCTTCGTCCGTGGCGTGGTGAACAGGTGGGGGGTGGGTTATACGGCCAATACACAGGTCCGTGCGTCCTGGGCTCCTGGGCTTGATGATTCTAAGATTCTCTGATTCTGTGTTCAGCACTCCACACTTTTTCATACAAAATGCCCATCGATGTGACTCTACCTGATGGTCTCTGACCTCACCCTCCCCTGCGTCTCTCCTTCCTGAGTCTTGGGAGTCCTTGTGCACAGAATGGGCATCATCACCGTCCTTGCAGAGCACCTGGGGGCTGAGGGCTGGTGCGAGGGCAGCGCCCGCACAGAGCAGGCGGTCCCACCGTGGTGGGCACATTTGCCCCAAGAGCTGGGCACGCAGACGTGGTCAGGAAGGAGCCGGTGTCCAGAGGAGGGGAGAGAGCAGAATGAACGAGCCCTGTCCCCGTCTGCTCTGGCCTCTGGCCTTCTGGCTGGGCATCTGGGCTGCATGACATCATTAAGTAACCTAGGGGCCCAGATTTGGTGGTTGGCTTTCAGTCACTGGGAAATAAATCTACGAGTCGACTGTGGGGACCCCCATGCCTGTAGCCCTCTGGCCCTCCCAGCTCTCCCTTCTGGTCTTCAACTCCCCGAGGGCTGCAGACGCCAGCTGGGGACAGTCGGGGAAGATCTGGCCTTCCCCAGGCAGGTCTGGGCCAGGCCACGTGCCACCCAGTTGGTGGGACCCAATTGCTCCCAGCCCAGCCCCCTCGAGGCCAAGCCATAGATACTTGTTCCTATGACTGAGGGTCAAGCAGGTCTTCGGGGACAGAAACCTCACTGACCCTCCAGAACAACCACCTGCAGTTTCCAGAACCACACCCAAGGCTTACGGGTGCACCTGTCACAAAATGTGTTTCTTGCCGGTGGTTCAGCTTTCATTCAGTTTAATCCACAAAACGTCAATGGAGCAGCACAGCTGGGGGCACCCCCGGCCGTGTGCTCCTTGATGGGATGAGGAAACGAGAAGCCAAGTGCCCTGTGTGTAGAACTACAGTGTTCGGTGAAGGGGCAGGCTCGGAGTCCACCCCCGGGGTTCTCAGCCCGTTTCTTTGCACACAGCATCATGCGCTGCACAAACATCACGCACATTCAGTTAGGTGAGGGGTGGCCCCGGTCACAAATGTGACTATAACATTTACTACCTTCGCAGGGATTATTTCTAGAAGGTGGTAAGAGACTGGAGGTAGTTTCTGGGGAGGTGAGCTGGGCGGCTGGGGTCAAGGGTGGGAGGAAGACCTGCTTTTCATTTTGTGCCCTTTTGTACCGTTTGAATGTTTTATTTTCCCCAAGTACACGCAGAACAGAGCCAATCAATCAATCAAACAATCGCAATTAAATAAACAATTACGCGAGCCAGGCGTTTTGTAACTCCTTCTGTACCTGCTGTTCCCTTGGGTGGAGACACCCTTTCCCGGCTTTCTCCATCCCGAAAACTCCTACGCAAGTTCCAACACTGAACTCAAATGCCCGGAGTCGGGGGCCGCTTCCCCGCGGCAGCGACTCTCCGTCCACCCGGCACCTCGCGTTGCCGTGGGTGCCCCGCTCTGCGCTCCAGGAGATGCACACGCCTCCTTCTGACTTCGGCTGGATCTCATCAAAGGAGGAGCCGCGGGGAGACCGAAGGACCGGATGAGAGAGGAGCGGGGGCACTCGTGCTGCCCACACCTCCACGCCCCCTCCCCCCCATTTCTCCTTGATCTTGGCGGGGGCTGCGTTTCCCCATGGCCTCGAGGCCGGTCGGCCTCGCTTCCGCAGAACCAGCCATGTCCGGCAGCAGTTACACTGTTCCCCCTCTCGCCTCTTTGGGACTTGAGGTGATGACGGCCCCCCTCTGTCTCTAGTCCCTGGTGCCTCTCCACTCCTTGAAGGGTCCCTCCGCCAGCCCTCGCCTCTGCAGAGACCCCCTTCATTAAGTTCGCTTCCGTTAAGCCCCTGGTGGTCAAGCTGGGGTGATTCTGCCCCTCAGGGGACATTGGACCAAGTCTGGGCGCATCTTTAGTTGTCAGGACTGGTGCAGGGGAGCCGCGGGCGTTTAGTGGGAGGGGCCAGGGGTGCTGCTAAACATCCCACAGTGCGCAGGACAGCCCTGGTGTTAGAGGGTCACTGGGCCCCAAGTGTCCCTGGTGCTGAGGACAAGCTACCCTGGCTTAGACCTTGGGGTGCCAGCTGCTCTCTGGCTGGACCCTGACCATTCACAGTGAGGGGGTCTGGGTGCCCGCTGCCCACTCAGTGCTGTGGCGGGATCCACTCATTTCCACGCCCACTGGTGGCCTCCTCCCAAGGGCACGACGGTGGAAAGACCCGATCTTTGCCGTCAGCCAGCCACTGTGCTGGGGGGAGACCCTGGTGAACTGGGCCCCCCAGCTCACTGGGGTCCTGTGTCATTCACCACATAGTCCCAGGAGTAGGAGGTCGACAGATGTTTGCTGATTGAGCTAAACAAACAAAAATTCTCTCAACAATGTCTCAAAACGGGCTGCAGAAGACAAGGGGCTAAACGGAACTCAGAGACCATGGGCAGGCGGATACACACGGAATGAATGAATGGTCGTCCCCAGGGATGTGGGCGGGGGGGCAGGACCCAAGGCGTCTCACCTCTCAGGTGGGTATCAGAGTAGAGCCCACCTGCTCAGACTATTATGAGAATATCATTAATGGGAAGCATTTTGTGTGTGACCTTGGACCTGGCTGGCGCCAAATAAGCAGCACCCATCAGCTCTCGGGAGGAAGTGATAGAGCAGAGGCATCAAGGTGGGGGCTGGGGAACAGCTCTGCCCCGCACACGGGGGCTGCTTTGCACCCCTGGGCCTCAGCTTCCCAAACTATGAAATGGGCGTTAGGTAGGCAAGCTCGCCGCTTTGCGGAAATCATAGCATAAGGGATGCCTTTGGGGTTCCCCATGTGTCTCAAACATCACCTTCAAACTCAAATTGATAATTTAACTAAAGCAAGAGGCCCGTTTGTTAAGTTGCAATGGGGCAGAACAGGCAGGGGGACCACCGCATCCTGTTCCGCCCAGGACTTCTCCAGTGTTGGCCGGGAAATTCCTGAACGTCCCCAGTCTTGGGCAGACAGAGATGGCTGGTCTCCCTGGCAGGCCAGAGGATCCGCCTGGCCACGTAATTTTTAGAAATAATAATTAACTAACATATGTTGAATGCATATTGTGTGCCAGGTGCTTTTCCAATGGCTTGATAAGTATTCGCTCATTTACTCTTCATAAGAACCCGGTGAGGGTCCTGAGTCACAGAGCCAGGACCTGATTTCAGGGTGTCTGGGTCCAGAGTGCCCGTATTTAACCAGGACCTCTACTATGCCTTTGAATGTAGTTTAAAACAGCTTTTGAAATAGTAACAATGATCATAACACTTCTGAGCACTCAACTACGCCTTCCAAAGTTTAACCCGGTGGCAACAACTGACGCTCTGCCTCGGGCCACCAGATCCACCTGCTGCTGTGTGGACCTCGGAATACAGCATTCAGGCCGCCGCCTCTGCTGACTTAAAGCTGGAGTCGAAGACGTAACCGGTTACAGGGCCAGGTGGGCAATGTTGGCGAGTGAGGTGAGCCTGGCTGTAATGTAAGAGGGAGTGGTGGGGACTGCGGCAAAATTGGGGTGGCACGCATGTGCTGAGAAGCAGCAGCCAGGAGCTCAGTCCAGGCTCCTGGGTCTGGGGACCCAGGGATGGCAGACCTTCCCAGAGAAGCCAGACATCCGTCTTTCACAGCAACTAACTCAGTGAAAACAAAACAAAAGCATGAGGTGTGTGAAAAAAAAAAAAGACACTTAGAAGTTGCGGTGTATTCACACAACGGAAGACTGTGCAGCCATGGGAATGGATGCGCTCTGGCCATAAAGCACAGGGACACCTGTTTATACGTCAGTCACCAATGAACACGCCCTGTGTTGCCCGTTTCTGGGAAGTTCAACAACAGGCCAAATTAATCCAGGGTGTTGGGAGTCAGGACGGTGGCCGCCCTGGAGAGGGGTGGGCCGTGGGGGACTGGAAGAGGGCCCCAGGGAGGCTTCTGGGGGGCTGGCTGGGCCCCGTGGCTTCCCCTGGGGGCCAGCGCCATGGTGGCGTTCTCTTTGTGATGAGTGCTGAGCTGTCAACTTAGGTCTGTGCATTTTTTAAATGTGTGTTGTATATTTTAACTTACATGAAAACATCGCAACACAGGTACAGGTACACACAGACTGTTACCACTAGAAATATTTCTCTGGTGGATTGAGCGCGGGCTGCGAACCAAAGCATCGCAGGTTCGATTCCCAGTCAGGGCACATGCCTGGGTTGCAGGCCACGGCCCCCAGCAACCACACATTGATGTTTCTCTCTCTCTCTCTCTTTCTCTCTCCCTTCCCTCTCTAAAAATAAATAAATAAAATCTTTTAAAAATTAAAAAAAAGAAAAAAGAAATATTTCTCTGGGTGAAGCAGCATTTTGTGTGGCTAAAAAAACTAAACTAAACTAAACTAAACGCTGAGATAATTGGACTGAGAGGCTGGCTTCCGCCCGGGAAGTGTCTGACCGCCCTCTGTGGGATAAATGAAATGATGCCATGTGTATTTTTGATATTTGAATTGCCAGGTTATACCCCGATTTGAAGCTGTGGTTTCTAATAAAACAGCCTCGTGCTTCTTGATGATGGCCTCGATCATATTCGTGTTGAAAGACGGGTCTGTTTTGCTCCCCACATTCACCCAAGTTAGGGATTTGAAGCTATAAAATAACTTTCTATGCACTTTCTGTATCTGACTTTCATGGGGAAAGGGGTGCACAGCTAAGGAAATCGGAGTCTGAAGATTGAGGTTCAGAAAGTCCTCGTACGCAAAGCAGGCTGCGAACGGCGGGGTGCATTTGGGGGTGATTCACCTGGCAAGGCCGGGTGGGAGGGGAGCTGCTGCAGCCTTCTCTCGCGGGGCGTGTCTCACTTACAAAGGGACTTTTCATCCTTTAGTCATCTCTCCAGTAAACACGTCCCAAACGCCCACTCTGTGCCAGGTTACAGGGCGCAGCGTTAGTCCAATACCCACAGAGACAGGCTACTAACGGCGGCCAGGTGTCGTGTGAGCACATGGCCAGGGGACCCTCGCTGGTCTCCCCCAACCTCCCAAACCACTCAGGTTGACCCCTTCTCAGCACCCCCACTTTCCACCCCCGCCCCACCTTCCCCGCTGCCAGCTGCACAGCTGCCACCTCAGCGGTCTCTCTGCCCCACTCGGACCCCTAACTCCATTCGCTACAGTGTTTCTGTAAGGCACAAACCAAAGACGCCCACCCTGGCCTTGCCCCTGCCCCTGCCCCCGCCCCCAACCTGAGAGCTATACCCAGGCCACATGGAGACACATCCAAACTCCTCCCTTTGGCTTCCTAGCCCCATGTCATCTGCCCCAACTGCCTCCGCATCCCCTCTCTCCGCCCAGGAAGCTGGTCCAGCCTCGGGGCCTTCGCACTTGCCATGCCTCCACCCAGATGCCTCTCCTCCCACATCTGCAGATGGTTGCTGCTTCCTGTGGTTCAGACGCCACCACGCATGTCACCTACTCTCAGGAAACTGGAAGAGGGGTGGGAGCCGGCAGGGAGGAGCACTTCTGACCATGTGACATCGTGCAACGCCTGCATTTCGTACCAGTGCACACCCAGATAAGCTTTGGATTTAAATGGAAGCGTCCCCTTGGAGGGGACTTTCTCGGGAGCAGCCTTCCTCATTTGTTTCTTCTTATGGTGCTTTTGTTTTCCCTTATGAAGTACTTAATACAGTTTGTAATTGCCTTGTTTTTTTTGTTTTGTTTTTCTTCTCGTTTTAGTTTATGGTCTACCTCCTTCCCCTTCATGAGGATCGGGACTTTGCCTGTCTTATCTACCAGCTAGCCCAGTCCTTGCACATAGTAGGTGCTCAATAAATATTTATTGAATAAGTGACGAAAAGAAGGGAGGGAGGGAGGGAGAGAGGGAGGGAGGGAGGGAGGGAAGGACGTCTGAAACAATAATGGAGCGTTGGCCAGGCAAAGCTGGGGTTGGGACAGTCGGGCTAAGCACCAAGCAGAGCTGGAGGTATAGCACCTGAAGAAGGCCGGGCTGATGGGACTGGACGTAAGGGAGTCGGGTATGAAGCAGACACGATTATGCCCATTGTACAGATGAGAACTCTGAGGTTCAGAGAGGGCGAGAGACTCCCCCAAGTCATCCAGCATTCCAGGGTCTGAGTTTAGAACCCAGGCCCTGATTCAAGATTATACAGAACCTTGCAGGTAGTGAGCACCTATATGTACTAACTTATGTGGTGGGCACTATTGTCACTTCCTCATTTGACTGATGAAGAAACTGAGGCACAGAGAGGTTGAGAGACTTGCCCTAGGTCACACAGCTTAGAAGTAGCTGAGCGGTTCCCAGTTTCTACCTCCTAATTCTCCCACAGCCTCTGGGGTCACACAAGGCCCCAGTCTGGACCCCAAAGAGGCTGTAAGTCAAACCCTGACCCTCTCTGGAGCTTTGGGAAAAGTAAAAAAAAAAATAATTCCCTGAAACCCTCTGGGGCCTGGATTCCCCCAACTCCAAATCAAAAGAGAGCAAAGCCAGCCCCGTTTGCAAGGCTGCTGTGAGAAAAAGGTGATAAAAAGGCTCGTGGAACTGGTAAGCGATAACAGTAACTGTAGAGCCCCCGCAATCAGCCCGGGCCGCAGCCGCAGCAGCGATAGGGACAAGTGATAGCGGGGTTTATGGCCCCGTGGGCCCAGCCTTTCTGAGGCCAGGTTGATAGGAGCTGGGGTCACAAGTGGGGTCACAGGCAGAAAACTCCCAGCAGCCCCTTCCTGAAGGGAGGCCGAAGGCCCTTCCTACCGGCCTGGGCCTTGATTTCTGGGGTCTGCCCCGTCCCCAACGCCAGGCTGAGGGGCCACCATTAGCCATCCATCTGGTCGCCTTGGTCTTGTCTATAGCTGCTAAACCTGTAAGCCATTAGCACTTTATAGTGACTTGGTTCATTCATTAATCCTCAGGGCGCCAGGGGAGGGCAGGGGGCAGAGGGCTCTGTGATTCACGCCTCCTGTGGCCAGGGGACATTCACTGGGGCACTGCTCTGTGCCGGGGGCCCTGCAGGGAGGAAGGTGGTGATTGGACCCTGGCCCGGAATCACACGTGCCCTGGGACTGTGGGACGGCACAGCTGGACCTGGGTCCCCACCTCCCGGGACCGTGACCTCACCACTACAAGGAAGACTGGGAGTGGTTTGTCCCTACAAGAGTTCAGTCTTTAAAAATATCAGAAACCCACCTTAGAACATGGAGTTCTATTTCCTGGTTAAAAAGAAGAAGAACCTACGTATCACTAATGCTCATATAATACAGAGAAGTACAAAAAAATGTTCCAACCACTGAAATTTTACCACCCTGAGCAATGGCAGCGGAGCTACGTTAGTCAAGAGCACAGCGTCCCAGGTCCCCGTGCCAACTTGTGACATTGAGAGCATCACTCTCCTCTGCCTCAGTATCTCCAACCTGCAAAATCTTCCAGCGGAAGCCCCGGCCACACGGCCCGCGAGGAGCACAGAGCCGGTGATGACCTACAGAGCGCTCGGCACGCCCGGGCCCAGAACCAGGGCTCTCGCGGCGGCGTCTCTCCGACACGCCCCGTCCGTGCGCGCTCCACCTGCTCGCGGTTTCAGAACCTGACAGATACACTCGACAGGACATTCTAGGCCTCTTTCCGTGTCTCTAAGCGACGACGTAGAGGCTGAACACCTGACTCCTTCGGGAGCCCCCGCCTTGCTTTAGATCGGCGCTAGCGCCCCTGGGGAGGCAGCCGGCTTTCTGCCCCACCCGTTCTGGGCAGATTCGCTCCGGCAAACCTGTGTGGCGGTGTGGAAGCGAGGATCCACAGACAGCGGATAACTTGCTCGGGGCCACAGAGCTTCGACCTGAACCTCTGACATCTGGACTCCACCGGCAGAGCTCAAGGCTGAAACACAGGCACCAAGAAATCCGGGGGGGTGAGGGGGTGGGGGAGGTTTGGAGCCAGGCGGTCGTGGACTTGAATGGCTGTTCTGCCAGTACCGGTGGCGTTCCCTTGGGCCGGTCTCTTCACCTCCCCAGGGATTAGTTTTCTCCTCTGCAAAACGGGGCTGCCCACCCCCACCAACAGTAAAAGAAGTAAGTATATTGAGGTGCACTCACGGAATGGAATACGACGCAGCAACGAAAAAGAGCACGTTACCAACAGCAACAACGGGGGTGAACCTCAGAATTATATCGGAGGGAGCCAGGCACCCGAGACTGCTGGAGTAGCCAGATAAAAATATAGAATGAATTTCTGTATTTAATAAATATAGCAAAAAATAATGCATTTCAAATAAACAATGATTTTTTTTTAAAGTATAAGCACGTTCCATAGGACATTTAAATTTAACTGACATCCTGGATTTTTATGTGCTAAACCCGGCAACCCTAAATAGTATATGTGTATAATTACATTTGCATGAAGTTCAAAAACAAGTGCAATGAATACATGGTGATAGAAGTCGGGATAATGGTCGCCTGGGGTGGGGGTCGGGGGAGTGGGAAGGGTGTTAACAAAGTTGTACATGTTCAAAACCACAAGTTCATGGCTACAGACCACAGAACGGCGACCGCCAGAGGGGTGCGCAGGCAGGGGAGGACGAAGACGGTAAAGGGGTCAAGTGCAAGGTGACACAGGGCAACTAGGCTGCAGGTGGTGAGAATGTGACATTGTATTATAAAGCTGCACACCTGAAATTTATATCATGTTATTAACCAATGCTACCCCAATAAATTGAATATAAAAAATTAAAAAGGTATCTTGATCCGGGTGGGGTTACCTGTGTGTATACACTTGTAACACTTCACCGAGCTGTACACTTAATAGTTTTGCATTTTATAAGATTTGTGAATCGTGGCTCCTTACAAATTATATTTTGAAAATTCTAAAGAGCGATACACCTCTCGATTCAAGTCTTTATAATAGCACTTCACTGATAGGGCATAAAGGATAAAAGGAAATAAAGGTTGTGCGTCTCTCAGCACATTTTAGGAGCTCAGTAAAAAACTATCAATGGAAGCCATTGTTAAATGAACAGTAACATTCCTATTATTATTACCACCCTCCTGGGATTTTCTCTATTGTCGGTGGATTGGAGCGCCCTCATGTGTCTATATTTTGTCATGGCACCTCAGTTACTGCAAAGAATACCTACTCTATCCAAGCGTGGAGTCTCCATCCCAAAGGGCAAGGCTTTGCGTTTCTTTTTGCTCCAGGACCACAAAATAAAGTACCAAGATTCACATGACACCAAGGTGTCCGAAGTCCAAGTCCAGCCCTGCCCACGATAGCCCCTGCAGTGTGTCAGAAGAGACCACACAGGTTTATCTCTCTGACTCACTGTGGAAGCACAATTGCGAACATTCCCCCATTTCCCGAGAACTGACGTGATAATATTTGAAAGTTGCACTGGGAGGGCTACAGAATGCCTTCAAATTAATAATAATCACAACTGGCTTTCTCTGAGCGCTTCCTGTGTGCAGGCACCATGCTCAGACATGCATGTCCACTTTTCTCCTTGAATCTTTCAAATGACTTGTGAGGCATATACTGTTTTGTAGCCTGCTTCCCACCCCCCACTCCCCGCACCCCCAACAGTGGGCATCTTTCCATGTCAATAAATACGGCTGAGGCGGTGAGTACTTGATTCAAAGGCTGAGAAACTTAAACAGTCAGCGGCCACTGCCCAGGTGAAGATCAATAATAGTTAACATTTATTGAGTGCTTTATCACATACCCGGCCCTGTGCTAATTGTTTAACGTGCACTGTCTCTTATTTGATCCTTAAGGCAATCCGAGGTAGCTGCTAGTATTATTCAGATGAGGAATCTGAAGCTCAAAGAGGCAGCGGGACCATCCGAGGTCAGAGAGCTGGTGCGTGGGAGGATTTTTGCACTCAGGCAGCAGATTGGATTCCTCACTCAGGCAGCAGATTCGAAGGACTGTGTGGAGGAGGGCACAGGGGAAAGGTCCCCAAGTAGAGAAAGCAGCCACTGACAAGTCCTGGAAGTAGGCAAGAGGGGGGTGTGGGGGTGGCCGAGGGGTGGCAGTTCCACATGGGAGGAGGACAGGAAAGCTTCCTGGAGGTGGTGCCGTGTAGACTGACTTTCTATCCCCAGCCAAGAAAGGAGGCCTTTTAATAACTTGCCAGCTGCCGAGTGGTTTGACCTCAGATGCATACATGGGTTCAGATCCTAACTGCCACTCTAGAGTGTTTTAAAAACAGCATTACTGAGGTATAATCGATGTACAATGAACTACTACTTAAACCGCGTAATTGGATGAGTTTCGACATGTGTACATACCCAGGAGCCCGTCACCACAGTCAAGATGAGGGACGTTTCTGTCACCCCCAAACGCTCCTGGTGTCCTTTCCCCTCACCACCTCTCCATCACCCGCTCCCATTCCCAGGAAAGGCGGCAGCAGTCTCTACAGTTTAGGTTCTTCCACTGCAGGTTACTGCAGATCTCCTGGAATTTTATAGAAATGGAAATATACAATTCACACTCTTCTTTTCACCGAGCATAATTATTTTGAAATTTATCTGTGTATCAATAGTTTGTTCCTGTTTGTTGCTAAGATATAAACAGGGGTGGGCAAAAGCAGGTTGCCAGTTGTAATACAAATCAATAATACAGTAATGAATAAATGATAACACAAGAACAAGTTCGGTTCTGCGTACTCACAACTGTAGCCCTACTTTTGTCCACCGCTGTATACATC